TTATCTCCAAATTTCCAGGCTCACTTAGAATTGATGTCTATCACCCATACCACTGTCGGTGACCAATGGCTGTTTGGAAAAGAGGGAGGAAGGGGAGAGGCAAGTAGGCCTGGACATGGGGTGGACATGAGAGTCGGTCAGGAAGCCTGGGGGCTGGTCCTGGCCCTGCTGGTGACCTACTTTCTCACAGACCCTGAGGCAGGACTGGCCAAGTTGAGAGAATGAGCCAAATCTTTTGGAAGGTGACCTTGATCCTTTAAGCAAGCAGCGCCCCCTCTTCTCCTGTCAGACATCCTTACCGGACAGGGATTTTTTCTTTCTTTCTTTTAAGCGGCTGGCATTTAGTCAATACGTTTTATGTGGCTGGCACGTGTCAGGGGCCAGAGACACAGATCCGGATCAGGAAGTGCTCTGTGAAGTGTCAGTGAGACAAACGGTCTGGCTGCAGCGGGCCCAGGGCGCTGTAACCCAGGTTAGGAGGACTGTGGACGGTCCTAGGGAAGGCTTTCCTGAGAAGGCGCCATCTGAGCTGTGTGGAAGTTCGGGAGGAGACGGCCAAGCCGGCACGTGTGTGGGGGGAAGAGGGGGTTTCAGTCTGGAGGAAAGGCTGGGCAAAGGCGAGGTGACATGAATCAGCATGGCCCATCATGGGGGAGGGGGGCGCTGGAAACAGCTCTGTGAGGTAGGCACACAGGATGGGCTGTCAGGCCGGGAGCAGACACCGGAGGCCCGCAGGCCATACGAAGGGGTTTGCATTTGCACAGGGGACACGCGCTTCTCCAAACTGACTGGGCCTGAAAAGCACTTGGGAAGCCTATCAGGAGACAGACCCCGGGGCCTCACTCCAGCCTACAGAATCGGAATCTCCTGAGCCAGACCTCGGAATCCACCTTCCGCCAATGTCTCATCAGAGTCTGCACAGGCCCAAGGAAGCAGGGGTTGGGGGGTGGGGGAGAGCTCTAAGCAGGGGAGAGGCAGGCACAGGGGAGTCCAGTCCCAGTGCTCTCTTGAGCCTCTTCTGGAAGGAAAAGGGAGGGCCTGAGGGAAGCCCTGGGGGTGTGATGAGAGTCCCCAGAGGCTGCTGCCAGGGTTGGTGGCCTGTGTGTTGAGACCATGTGTCTCATGACCATGACAGGGGCGGGCACAGAATGGGGGTTTCCGGTTGGACGAGCTCCTCCAGGCAGTAGAGTAGAGGGACGGGAGAGGCGTCCCTCCAGCCCATTCCCACTCCACTCACCCCCTAATGGTGTCACCTTAAAGGACCATCTCTCACCCATCCCTTCATCCTGAGTGAAACCCGACTTCCACATCCTACACGGCTCCTTATTCAAGCTGCGTGTTCAGAGCATGTTGGGAGAAGGTGAGGAGGAGGCCGAGGCCGTGTTTTCACCCAGCCTCAGTGGGAGGAGGCTTCTTGGGATGGTGGTTTCCCCAGTTGTTCAAAGCAGCTCCCTCGTTGTCCGGGCCTTGGGAAGAAGGCTGTGTGATTGCTCTCGACCTCCTAGTGTGATCGTGCTCCTCCTCCTGCCTTTCTCTCCAGAAAATGGTAATGGCGGCCTCTGATACACAGGACGGAAGTTAGTTCTCCAGTCCAGAAACGCGCCGCACTCAAGGTAGCCCCCCTCCTAGGGATTCCCGCTCCACAGGAGGCACCCAAGCTCCTCACCTGGACCCCCCTGCCCTTGCCTTTTCCAGTGGAACGTGTGCACTTTAGAACAGTGAAACCAGGCAGTTTCACACCTGGATGCCTGCGTGTATGCAAATGCCTCTGACAGAAATGGTTCTCCCACCCCTCCCCCTCCGTCTGGCTAACGCCTGCTCTTTCTCCGAGACCCGACTCTGTGCTACCCCTCCCGCCCAGCACACAGCTCAGTCTTCTGTTCCTGGGAGCAGACCCACACCACCACCTGTGCTAGCCTGACTGGGGAGCGCGTGGATGGAAAGTTTCTGTTTCCCTTCCCCTGCCCCAACTTGACCAGAAATTCCTCAAAGACAGGGCTTATATTTCGTCTTTCCAGTGCCTGGCATGTAGTAGAAATTCAACAGATATTTGCTGAACCAGACAGAATCCAGATGAATAAGAAGTGCTCTCAGATGTGAATGTCATCATCATTTAATAGCTTCTGAGGATTTGCTTGCTGGTATTTTTTCGATGGCTTTTAAAACCTCTATGTAGATGTGACACCCATTCCCCCTACATTAAGTGTAAAGTAACAAATTTAATGAGTAAACTGAAGGTGATTATTTGCATCTCGAAGGGGGGGAACAGGATTCCTTTAAACATTAAGCTTTGCTGGAACTTTCAGAAAATTGCCTCACAGATCATTAACTTCTGGGGGTGGGGAGCAGGAGTCATAAAGGTACCTCTAAGAGTCTGAGCTCTGAGAGCCTCTGGATTCACTCTGACTTACTAGCTGTGTGTCCTCAGGCGAGTCACTTAACTTCCCTGTACCCCCATTTCCTTATCCCTAAAGTGGAGATGTACTATACCGACTTCGTGTGATTCTTGTAAAGATCTAAAGGACCCTCTGTTGAGTACCTTTGCTCATAGGAATCCCCCCATAACCGTAACAGTGTTGTTGTTTTCCTTGACACTGCACATGGAAGAGAGGAAGGAGTCCGGCAAGGTTTACAGGACTTTACCTTGGACTACAGGAAGAAGGGAGGCACAAAGTATCCAGACAGGAAGGGCCAGCCTGTGCGGCAGCATGACTTTGCTCTTACAGCATTTCACAATTTTTTGATTTTCTTAAACTAAATCTTTCCACGCTGTGAACGTACGCAGCAGAAGGCTGGCGACAGCACTGGCCAGTGTGGTTGATGTGAGGGCCTCGGGCTCTAGAAAGCCTACTGCTTACCAGCTCTGTGATCCTGGGGACGTCACCTAACTCAGTTTCCTAATCTGTAGAAAGGAGAGAATAAACGGTACCCATGTTTTAGGGTTGCCATTCGAGATAAGGAATGCGAAGCACTTAGCGCAGTGCGAGCTGCGGAGGGCCCCCTCCACAATCGGCACATCACTGTAGGATGAAGTGATCAGTACTAGCGAGCAGCAGAAAGGGCCCTGTGGGAGGAACAGCTTGCTCTGGGAATAGGAGGGAGGTGGGGATGCAGGAGCATGGGTCCCAGACTTTGGACACCTGACAGGAGAGAGCTGTGTGAGCTTGCGTCTGCTCCGTAGCACAAAGCGTTTGCCCCAGATGATCCCTCAGTTTCCTAAAGCAGCCCAAGGCCCATCTAGCACAGCTCCCCAAACAGCTGCCCTCAGGCCTGGGGGGCTTGTGCCCAGATGCCCCCACATACTGCAGGGTAAGTCCTGCTCACTCCAGAGCCAGGCCTCCTCGGAAACCATCCCCCCCCCCCCACCCTGTGTGGTCCTCAGTGTGCCTGCGCCTGTCACCCAGATGGCGACAGCAGTGCACAGGTACCAACAGGACAGCAAACCATGCTCGAGTGAGAAGCTGAAGGAAAGATGAATGAGCACTTTCCCTTTGTAGAGATTCTGGAATCTCCTGGGTCCTAACTCTTCTTGTTTCCCGTCTTTGTGGAGCAATGTTTGGAAACAGGTGAGATTCTGTTACCTCCCTCTGGGTGGAAAGAGAAAGAAAACTCCTTTGGTTTGGGTCACAGCTGCAGGTAAAGCCCTTGGCTGCCACTTGCTCCCAGGTGTGGAAAAAGTGACCAGGTCTGTCCAGGAGTCCCGGGGACTCAGAACCGTCCCTATCCCAGGGGCTGGCAATGCAGGGACCAGGCTCTCCCCCTGCCCGGGCAGACGAGGGAACCCGCCTCCGCTCCGGGTCCCCGCGAGCGTCGGGAAAGCACAAGCGACCTGACCTCCGAGGAACCGGCACCTCGGGGAGGGCGGCCCGAGTCCTCGGGAAAAGCTGAATAAACAAAGGGCATTCCTCAGCTCCCCGCGGGACGGCCGAGCCTCCTCCCCGAGCCCCCGGGTGTGGAGTTGCCCGCCTTCCCGGGGAGCCGGGGAGGAACGCGGGGTTTTCCTGGCCTTCGCCCCGCGCGGGGCCGCGTCCCACGCTGCGCGCGCCCCGAAGCCTCGCCCGGCCCCGCGCGCAGGGGTCGGTCCCGCGGCGGCCCGCCAGCGCCCCCCGCCCCGGCCGCGCTCGCCCTCCCGCCCATCGGGGCGCCCCCCGCCGCCGCGGCCGCGAGAGGGCGGCGAGCGGAGGGCGGCGGGGGGAGGCCGCGGGGGGGGGGGCACGGTCCCGCTCCTCCAGCCCCTTCCGCCGCCCCGCCTTTCGGCCCTCCGCGCTCCCTCTCTCCGCTCCCGGCCCGGGGCGCGCCCGGCCCGGCCTGTCCCCGCGCGGGCAGAGCCGGGAACTGGCAGCCCATGCCGCTTCCTTCCAGCCCCGGCCGCGCCCGCTTGGCCCCCGGACCCCGCGGGCAGGCGGCGGCCCGCAGCCCACACCGCGCGGCGGGCACGGCGGGCACAGGGCCGGAGCAGGGCCGCGCCGCTCCGCGGGATGGAGGGGGCGCCGGAGGCGGCGGCGGCCCAGCCCGCGGGCGGCGGCCCCCAGTGAGTACGCGGGAGCGGGGCGCCGGGCCGGCCGGGGCGGCGGGGGCCGGGGATGGGGGGCGGGGGGCGGAGGGGGTCCCGGAGGGCGGGCAGGGGCGCGGGGAGGCCGCCCCGCGCATCCTTCCCGCTTCAGCCTGTGGGAGTGAGAGCCCGCGCCTCCCGGAAGGCTGCCCGCGCCCGTGGAGCCCCGTGGGGGGAGACGGGTTCTCCGGGGTCGCGGTTCCAGAGGCTCCCCGGTCAGGAAGTGCGTTTCCTCTTGCCGGAATCCCCAGCTTTCTGACCTGAACTTTACAAGAAAAGATTCGGTAGCCGGGCTGCAAGGGAAAGTTGGTAACATTCTAGATCAACTAGTGGAGGAAATGATCTCGTCCGCCTGAAGATATCCCCTTGCACTTCCCCGGCTTAAGGCTGATGTGACATTTGCACCGTGTGTATATTTTGCTTTATGAAGTATGTGCATTCCTGCAACATGTTAAAGTCGAATGGTAATAAACGATTATAGAGGGACTTGCCATTTGGGAGAATTCTATGGTGAACTTTTAGTCCATATAAGAAGTGAAAAATTAACTCCTAATTCATAACTTATGTAAATAAGGATTTTTATACAAGCAGCTTACTTCAAGTGAGATGTATATAAATGTATGGTGTAGAACGAGCATTTTCTCAGAGAGCAGGGCATGTGTCACAGCTTTTATGTGTGCGCTGAACCCCTTGGTAAATAAAATCCTGTGCTCACTTTCATTCCCTGTGAACACATTGACATCAACCATGCCACCGAGGAGCTTTGTGACTCTGGCAAGTCCCTTAACCTCGCCAGTCTGGATATTCTTGTCAACAGAATGAGGGGAGTGGGGGGTAAGTGATCACTTGATCACTGAGTGCTTTGCAAAAGCCCTGGCCTTGGAAGGAGAAGCTTTGCATTCCAAATCTGGCCTCCCTTTAGCACCTGCGTGACCGAATCTCTATGTGCCTCAGTTTCTCTATCTGTGAAAATGAGGAAGATAATCTCATGTGAGCAGAGTGTGTGAGAATTGAGAGCATGTGAAAGCTCTTGCAGGCCTGCCTGGTACACGTGGCTAGGAGTCAGTGATCAAGAGTGGCCACCCTTTGGGCACAGCCCCATGCTGCTGTCCTGGGGCTTGTACACGGGTGAGCGCCTTGAACCAGAGGGTCAGATCCTGTGGGGTATCTTCCTGAAGCCCCTCATCTGCACTGGCTTCCCTTAAAAAGGCAAGAGCATGTTAACTGTTAGCAGAAGTTGACATCCACTGAGATCACTTATCAGCAAAGTACGAGGCTGGGGATTGGGAAATCTGGCCCATGTTTTCCCTCTAGTCCACAGTTGGCTGTCATTGGAAACTGCGTTGTGCCCTATCTGTAAAATGGGGGTAGGAAAACTAGAACACTCCTGAGACTTGGAAGAAGAAACTCAGTAGTAACTTATTTGTGCCATCCAATGATTTGTACTTTTCAAAATTCTGTCCCCAAGTTGTTCTCATCTGGACAGGGCTCGATACCAAGGCACTTTGGGGACCCAGGAGGGTGTTAGAGCTCCTGGCCCCGTGCTGGGTCTCAGGAGCTCTGTCTGTTTTCTTCTCCAGAGGGACCAAAATAGGGAGCCGACCAGCCAGCTCCGTGGAGATGACCTCAGGTGTGGAGAGAAGTGGCTCGGAGCCACAGCTGGATAACGGACACCTCCCAAGACCCTGGTCCTTCTCTCCGGAAGCCAGATCACCCAACCTGTTGGCCCCCCAGCACCCCAGAGCACGGGGGATACGGCTCGAAGGTCCCTCTGTGCTGGAGTCCAAGGTGAGGGCCTTGAAGGAAAAGATGACAGCAGGCAAACAGGGGGTGAGCCCCTGCCTCGCTTCTCAGGAGAAGCCATCTAAGAAACCCAAATGCAGACGAGGCAGGGTGGGCGGAGCCGGGGCCCTGTCAGAGGGGTCTTCCCCGCCAGATGCTGAGGCGGTCCTCCCTGCTCAGAACCTGACCCACGCGCAGCTGAATAGTGTTGTCAACAAGGATGAACCTGCCAGGGATGGGGTGCCCAGACCGCCCAGGCCGCCTTCTCCTGGGCTTGAGTGCTGGGACGGGCAGAGCCCGTGGCATCCAGAAGCAGCGTGGGCATCACCAGGCGATGAGAGGAGCCTGCTGCCCAGGGCTGGCTCTTTGCCAGAGAGCCCTATGCACAGAGTCACCCCGGGCCGGCCTGGGGGCCCTGGTCCTTGCAACAAAATCACCCACATGGCCAACCTGAGGAAAGGAACGTCATATGCCCTTCAGGATGATCTAGTTACAGGGGGAGACCTGGACAGCTTGTCTCTGACCTCCGAGGAAGACGTTGTCCCCAGGCCAGCCCTCGGGGGGCCCTGGCGAGCTGGAGACCCGGGGGCTCTGGGCACTGGGAGCAGTGCCTTGTCCCTGTCTGACCGGGTGGAGAGGAACCGCCTTCTGCTGCAGGAGATGCTAAGCGCTGGGAGGCAAGGCCCCTCCAAGGTGGGACTCCCAGCCTGGACTCCATCCCAGGACAGAGGTGCACCAGGTAGGGCTCACTGTGTAGGGCTGGGGGGCGGGGGGCGGAAGGAGGGAGTCCAGGAGGGGACGAGGGGGAAGGAGGGCACCTGCAGAGGGGTGGGGCAGGAAGGGGAGAAGAGCACAGCTGCCTGTCACCTAATTCGTCAAGAAGTCCTCTTATTTTTGGCTCTGACCTAGATTCTTTACCTGTCTGCTGAAGACCCCCATGACCCCCAGAGGAATTGGAGGCCACCCTCTGTGCTTGGGGTGGAGGCTACCATGACTTCTGCCCTTTCTGTCTCTCTCGGAGCCCTTCTGGTGGCATTTTGCACCTCCCTCCATCGACTTGCCCTCAGCTCCCAGGGGACCTCCTTGCCTCCTGGGGGAAAGCCTACCCACAAAGAGGTCAGCTGTTCTGTTAGGCGGGCTGTGCGGGGGCGGCTCTCTGCTGCGGTGTGTACGTGTCCGGGCCGAGAGCGCCCTCCTTTGTGTCCTTCCTCCCTCCCCGAGGTCCATTCCTCACCCCGCGCCTGACAGGACCCACACGGTCCCCTGGGCCCATGGCGGTGCCCGCCAGCTGTCACCGTGACAGGCCGTGCCTCTCCTTCTTAGGCTGAGACACGGAGTAGAGATGAATTTACCTGGGGAGTAAACTGCTCGAGGAGAAGACTTTCTTCTCCGTGTCCGGTAAGCAGCCCCCACGAGCCCGGTTTCTGGCTCTGCCCTGATCTCTGCTTCTGTTCTGCGTCCTAGAACGGCCGGCAGGGGACGTGGACTGGGACTCAGGCATCTCCCTGCAGGACTCAGACCAGAACCGGTAAGAGCCCAGGGTGCACACCTCGTCTCCTGCCCTCCTCACTGGGGTCCCCTTGCTTACCCGGCACCCGGGCCGCCGGAGCCCTGGAGGAAGCCGCACCAGCAGACTGGTGCACCGTGGGCCACCGCGGGTCCCCATAGCTGAGACCCCACAGAACGTGCCGGTCACCCCCAGTGCGCACTGGTGCCCGGCTCCCGCTTGAGCAGAACCACTGGGTGTGGGGCACGGTGCCAAAGGGTACCAATGACCCGCTCTGCCTCCCTGGGGGTCATTTCCCCTGTTCTGGGCTCTGTCCCTTTATCTTTTAAGTGGCCCAAAGAGTATCTGTCTGGTTGACTTCGCAGGACTGTCGTGAGGCTAACATGAGAGAAGAGTTGGGAAAATCCTTAGGGAAAGTACACAAAAGCAGAGCTTTTACCCCACGGTCCCTTTCCCATCCAGTGGGGGTGCTGGCTCCTGTAAAGCATTTCACCTCCTCCAGCCTCTCCTGTGACATCCCTTCCACCAGGGGCTCGGGGACCTAGCACACTGGGATGGTCGGGGCAGGGGGCCACTTTCTGACCTGGGTAGTGTCCTGACCCACAGGACATGCGCTCCGTGGGAGTGAGTGGCCACCACTGGCACCTGCTCAGAGGTTGGCCTCAGCCTCAGTCTTTGCCGAGCTCCTGGCTTGGGAGTGCCAGGCTCTGGAGATGCTCCGTTTCTCTAGCTGTGCAGTGACGTCACTCGCCGAGGGTCTCGTGCTTTCTGTGGAGGGCAGAGGTCGGAACTGTTGCTTCTTCATTACCAGGCCAGTCTGTGCATAAATTCAATTCCACTTCATCTGACCTCCCCTCCAGAAAACGGGGAGGGGACCTCCTTGGTCCTGCTTTTACAAATTGAGGGCCGCCCAGATTCAGGTGACCTAGCTCGGCTTGGCTGCTGGCCTTTGCAGTGGCCTTGGCCAAGGGCCTGGTGGACAGGGGGCTGTCTGGCTCCCTCATCCCTCATTATGTGTGGCTTGGAATCATAGTTGACGCCGCTCTGCCAGGGCTCTCTTCTTCTGCCTCTATGGCACTGTCTTCTGCCTCTCATCAGGTCTCCCCGTAGCCCGGCTGTGGCATGGAGGGGTGTGACGGCAGAAAGGACTGTGGTCCTCCCTCTCCCTCCCCCTTCCCCAGGGAGCCTGTAGAGAAGGCAGCTGAGCAGGCAAAGAGGGTGCCTTGTCTTCCTGCGGTAGCTGCTGCCCACCGCCCCTCATAGCCTTTCTTCCGGGGCCGGGAGAGGCCTAGCTGCAAGGTGCTGCCGCCGGCGCCTCTGTCCAGAGGTCCCTACTGAGAGGAGAGGGCGAAGCTCCCAGCTTGCATGTTGGCTAATGAGTGATGAAAATACCTGTTGTCAAAGAGAACCACAACCATAGCAGAGAAGGCACTCTCCCCCCAGCCCTGTGCGGAGATGGCATTTGTGCAGAATCCTCAGGACGGCAGTTTCTAGACTGTGATTTAAACTGCCAGGCCATCTGCAGCACTGTAGGGTTCAGCTCGAGTGTACGTGTGCAGGTGTAGGACATATGGGTGTGCGCGTATACATGTACCGTGTGATACGTGTGTATCTGATGGGCGGGCGTGGGTGGAGTGTGTGGAGGGAGGTTGTCTTAGCTTTTGGACTGTGCCCAGCACATATCTGGGCACAGAGTTGGCAGGGGGAACTTCCTCCTCTGGTCTGTTTGGAAGGTCATTCAGAGTGCGCCCTTGACCTCTGTCTCCGATCTACAGTCAGGCCCCTGCTGAGGAGACCCGGAGGGGAGGGAACGTGTCTAGGTCAAGGATGAGAGAAAGGTCAGCTGTGTGTTGAGGCTCCCTGGAGCAGGGCTCCTCATTTCATTCTGTTTCTGAGTCTCCTGGCAGATATGGGTCCCTGAGACACGGCAGGCTCTCTCTGTCCCCTGAGGGGGGTAGATTTTCTGAAGCCATATCTCTATAGCTAACCGGCCCAAGAGACTTCTGAAACAAGGCATGCAACTCTCTGTCCAGGAGCACTGCATGGGACCTGTTTCCTGGGGACTTGGCGCATGTTGTGAGGGGCGCGGGGCCCTGGACAGCGGAGTGCTCTGAAGCCGTGGCCGGGCATCGCGATGGCCCTCCGTCAGGGGCTCAGGACGCACTGTGGCAGTGAGTCCTCTCCTCTGAGGGTGTGCGGATAAATGGTCCTGCTTCACACTGAGGTTTAGTATCAGTGCTGTTAAGTTCACGTTACTCCAACGTGTATTTAATTATCAAATACACATTAATCCATGTGTACTTAATTATAATTGTCTACAATTGTCACTGTTTTGCAAGGTGATAAGACAAGCTCATGAAATGATGGTTTCTGCAGAGCCCGAGACTGTAGTCACTGTCTGCCGGGGCCGGCCCGGGGGGCCGTCTGTTGGGGGTGGGGTCACAGGGAGAGTGAGCCTTGGAGGTGAGGTACCTGAGTGCCGCGGGAACACCAGAAGTGCGCTGGGACCCTGCATGCTAAGGGCCATCCTAGAGAGCTGGAAATCCCAGCGGTCTGTCCTTCCCTCCAGAGGACCATGCGGGGGCGAGGACAAGGTGTCGCTGAGGACCACAGCTTTTGTTGTGTGCCACATTCTCACTTTACCCTCATAACCAGCTGTGTGGATTGATCCTGTTTCACTGACATTGAGGCCCCTCTGGGGAGAGGCTAAATGACTTGCCCAGGGACATAGAGCTATTAAGTGTGGGATACCTCACTTAACGCAGGGCTGCCTCGTGCCAAAACCTGCGCTCTAACCCGTACCCCGCACTGCCACAGCTGTCCTCTCTGCGTCCCACAGGCCCCCCTTGAGTTAGGGATCTGGGGATCCTCTGCCTCCCCCAGCGCTGGCCAGGTGTTCTCAGGGATAGGCAAAGAAGGGGAGGTGACGAGGTGATGGGCTCCACAGGCTGATCTTGTTTCTTCCCAAGCCACTGTGGAGATGATCGGGAAGTGGGGATTTGGGGAGAGGATGAGCGGGGAGGTAAGCACTTCAGATGGCAAACGGGGCCAAGGCTGTCAGCCACCCATTCACGGGCAGACTGGGAACATGTCCCGTCAAAGTCAGGAGTGGGGAGGACAGCAAAGTAGGTGCTCTGCCCAGGGCCAGCTCTGCCCTCTTCATTCTTCGCAGAGTTCTCCGGCTCAAATCAGGACCTTCCATGTGCGTCCGCCCAGATCCTCAAGTGTGTCTGCAGGGCTTCGTCGCTCTGCTGGGGGGTAGGGGGGATGGACAAGAGAGGGTCTCTGGGGCTGTGTTTTATTTGTGCTCTAACGATGAAGGAGACTCAGTGGATTCCCTAGGCTGTTCATTCTCCTCTACCGCCCGGATCCCCATGGTAGAATCGTGCCCATTTCAGAAGCTGAGGCTCAGGGGAAGCCCAGTCTCCAGGACACACACCTCTTCATGAAAAGAGAGGGCAGAGTGCCAGCCTGCAGCAGCTCACACCCTGGTGGGTCCCAGTGTTCAGGCCCCTGTTGGGATTGCTAGAGGTCAAACCTCCCCACTCCAAAGCAGTTTGTAGACTCCGGTTTAAAGGGAGGCAGGCAGGGAACCCCCGAGAATTTCAGAGGCCTTGCCTGGGGCCCCAGTGGTCGACCCCACAGCTGTGAGAAAATCGCCAGCTTTTCAGAAGTGAATATATTCACGGGCGTTTTGGGAGAGGCTCCTGTGAACCGATGCCTGTGGATAATTTCAGAGGGAATTACCCGTTGTCGTGCCCACTGCCTTCTCTGCCTGCACCGGCTTTGGCCGTAGATGTTGCAGGTGGGTCTCCTCCCGCAGCTCCTTGGGGCAAAAACTGTGCCGGTCTTATCTCCTGGACCCAGTACCGGCCAAGCAGCCGCACGGAGGAACAGGCGCTCGGAAAACATCTGGCTGAAGAACACGTGCGTGAGTGTAGGTGGGCTTGCTAGGATCCCTATGGAAACGAGAGGACTCGCGGGGGTGGGGGTGGGGGGGGTGGGGCAGGACCTGCAGGAATGCTTCCGAGAAGGGTGAGGTGGAATACCGTCAGCATCCAGGGCGGGGAGGCTGGCTCTCCATAAATGGAGAGCTTTGGAATTTAGATTGTAAGTAGGGCAGTCAGAAACGAGAGACTTAACCATCTTCCTCCCGCCGCATCGACCCCCTCCATGGTAGGACCATGGCATTTTCTGACAGTGCAGGGCTGTTGCTGTGCCCTGTGGCCTGGTGCCCTGCTACAGAGCTGGTGAGAGGGATTGGTGCTTGCTCGAGCTTACTGGTCCGGTTCTGGATCTTCTGGGCCCCTAGGATCAGGGGCTGCATGAAGGGTCCTGGGAGTGAGCGTGGGAGAAGAGCCATTCTTGCAAAACCCCAGGATGCTCAGGGCCATCGGTGTATCAGAGGACACCCCAAAGCAAAGCAAGGGGGTAATTCTGGGTGGCAGAGCCAGCCTGTCTGCATATCCCCAGCCACCTGCCACCCTGCCCACCCACTTAGATATACAGACATGGGGGTGTCTGTGTGGCTCAGTCGGTTAGGTGCCCGACTTCAGCTCAGGTCATGATCTTGCGGTTTGTGGGTTTGAGCTCCGCATCGGGCTCTGTGCTGACGGCTCAGAGCTTGGAGCCTCCTTCAGATTCTGTCTCCCTCTCTTATGCCCCTCTCCCCCCTTTTCTCTCAAAAGTAAATAAAGATTAAATAATTTTTTTAAAAAAAAGATATACAGACACGAAGGAAAACTGGAGGAAAGCTCCCTTAGCACTCTCAAGCTCACCAAGAATAAAACTAAAAAGAAAAGTTGAACCACTCACCAGTGTTTTCAAATGCTTACTGTGCTCCCGATCACCTAGTGCTCTAAGTCCTGGGTGAAGGAAGGACACCGATGCTGAAGCCCTAGTGCACAGCCTGTGCCACCTGGAGCTCTCTGCCATGTCATTACTTCATCACATACACGCCACGCATTCTCGTTATGGTCCCAATCTTTGTGAATACTGAGGCTGTAGAAAATTACCCTAGACCATCTGTGGGGGGCAGACTGAAATTCAGCAAGAGGAAGCGTTTCTTCCTGGCCTCCAGACTTGAGCCAGCCACTCTCCCCACTCTTTGGGGGTGTCTCGGACACCTGTCTCCACACACTGAGGCCAGGTGGTGCTGACCAGAGGGGCAGCCCCAAAGGGAATTTGTTAACCTTCTTCTTTTTTTTTTTTTTTTTAAACTTTTATTTATTTATTTATTTATTTATTTCTAGGAGAGAGAGAGACAGCGTGAGCAGGGGAGAGTCAGAGAGAGAGGGAGTCACAGACTCCGAAACAGGCTCCTGGCTCTGAGCTGGCAGTCAGCACAGAGCCCGACGCGGGGCTCGAACCCACGAACTGCGAGATCATGACCTAAGCGAAAGTCGGACGCTTAACCGACTAAGCCACCCAGACGCCCCTTGTTAACCTTCTTCAAGAAGGCAGGAGCAAAGCCAGCTACTCTACTGACCCCAGATAAGAAGCTGGCATCTTAAGAAAGCTCTGCGAGCCTCCACCTAGATCCTTTCAGAGGTGTTACACGAGGCAGGCATATCCTACAGCAGCCATTCTGAAGGAAGCCAGCTCTTCTCTGTTGAGAAGCACCTGTTTATTATCTGGGCAGCAGCTTCCCTCTGCTCCCGGTCTCCTTTGGCTCCCCGCTGATTGGAAAGCGCCTTTTCTGTGAAGCCCTGTCAACGGCTGTGTGGAACAAAACCACCAAGCCTTCTTGAGCCTCAAGATGGCTTTACCTCCCTTTGCAGACGACCACAAGGTAATCTCTTCAGCAGGGATTCCAGTTCATGTTTAGGGACTCCATCTTTTGTGCATAAGGGGGCGAGGGTGACTTAAAATAATAGTACGGCCATAGTAAGATTGCTAACCCCGGTTGACTCTTACCCAGTGCCCGGCTCTGTGGGAAGTTCTTTTAAGGAGCTCAAGCTCACTTAGCTGAGCCCTTAGTTAGCAGATGAGGAAACTGAGGCTTAACCATAAAGTAACCTGCCAGGGTGACACGGCTCGTAGGGGACAGCCTAGAACGAGAGCCCGGTTAGGCTGACCCAGAACCACGTTTTAACCAGTGCTGTGGCTGCAGCCTGTCCGTGTCCTGCAGCCCTGGGGAGAAGGTGGCTGTGATCGTGCCCCCAGGGAACCGCCCTGCCTTCATGGCGTGCACAGTCAGGAATCAGTTTCAGGCCCACCTTTTCTCTTCCCCTCACTCGGGAAACTACACCGTGTAGCAGCAGGAGAGCTCGATCCTTGGTCATCTAGAGGCTTTATGATATACAAAGGTGGAAAAATTGCTGGGGAAAAAGATTTATATGTGTTCTATACGCTATTCGTTTCCCCTATACCCACTGCATCCTGGAATCTAGGAAACGTCGGATATCTTTATAGTCCAAATCATTTCCCTAATTCATGTTCCTGAGATGAAAGGGTTATTAGACCCAGACTTGCTGGAGCTTATTACTTTAATCCAGGATTATGATGGCTGCAGAAAGAGGCCAGTCTGTCCTGTTGACCCCCCTCCTTGGCTAGGCGAGGAATGGTGCCCGTCCTGACTCGAGACCTCGACCTGTCTGGCCTTGAGGGGAGCTGAGGTCGGAGCTAAGCCTGTCTGTCCACCAGGAAACTGGCTTAGATGAACAGGCCAGATGAGGGCCACATGCTGCCTGAGTCCTTGAAATCAGCCTGGGACACTGGTTGTTGGAGGGGTAGAGGGAAGGGCCAGAATCCTCATGTGGAGCAACGGTTATCCCCCCAAATTAGCTCCGGGTAGGTGTTGCTGCTCCTTGGTGGCCAAGCATCTGTGGTGTGGACCCCCCCCAGTGAGAGGACCTCAGTATCCCCCCCCCGCTCAGCCTTGTGGTGCGCCAGACTACACGGGCAGCCCCGGACGCACAGGTAGCGGGTGCGAGTCTTCTCCCTATCCAACTCTCGCTCCTTACAGACAAGGAGACTAAAGCCCGGGGGGAGAAGGACCCAGCCACTTTACCCCCATGCCCTACCCGCAGAGGGAATGCATCTGACCGGCAGGCTTTCAAGAGAGTAGTAGGAGCTGTTATTTTGAGATGGAGTTGCCTTAGTGTAGCCCTGCGCTGCCTGCCCCAGCCCTTCCAGGAAGTTTTCACAATTGTGGGAGCTGAGATTGTAGGGTGTAGCCCATGATGGGAAGGGGTTGTCTCCGGGGCTGTGTGCCATTGGCAGAGGCCAGGGCCGGATTAGACTGGAGAGCCTCCCTCGGATGGGAGAGTCAGAACCTGTGTGCCTGGCAGGGCGGGCGCCCCTTGTGGGGACCAGCACAGTGTGACGCAGTGATGGATGCGGGTGGGAGGTGGGCAGTCCGGCCGGGAGAGGCTCGGCATCCCACGGCACTGTGGCTCCCTGCCCCCCCGCCTCCTGGGAGAAGACCGTTTCCCCCTCCACAGGGCTGCTCAGGGCCAGGAGTTCCTACCCTGCTGACCTTGACTGCGGTCTCTGAAGGTGGCTGCCATTCCCTTCCCTGTTCAGCTCGTTACTGCATGGATGCCTTAAGGAGCCTAAAAAGCCTTGCTTTTCTAATCAGTGGAGAAAGCAGCTTTGTCTGCCAGGAACCGAAGCGGGGTGGCTGATGGAAAAAAAAAAAAAAAAAAAAGAATTAACAGCTCCAAGTGGAGGGAGCAGAAAGGAAACGGCAAAGCTGGAAAATGGCTTAAAAACCTGGGGGCAAGGCCGATCCTGGCAGCATCTGGCCAGCTGCCTGGGGGCCCTCCTGCCTGCCCACCAGGTCTTGTGACAAATGCCCTCCGACAGCCACGGAAGCACAGCTGTCACCGGAAGGCTCCGAGCGTGCGGGCAGGCAGCCAGAGGCCCGCGGCTGCAGGGGCGTCTCTCGGGCTGGTAACCTCATTATCTCTGCTGTCGGAGCAGGAGCCCCAGGGAGCACAGCTGCTCGCAGCGGAGCTGCCTGCTTGGGAAGCTGTGCACAGCGAGGCCTCTGCTGCCAAAGGAGGCTTCACGGGGCTGCAGGCCCGGAGATTCGCCTTCACGGCACTCCAGTAAACCCTCCTGCTTCCAGAACTGTGCCTGGGCCTTGCCAGGGTTCATAGGCACAGATGGTGCCTTTATTCTGGCAGCTCTTTTCCCCGCCTTGGGCCCCAAAGCAAGGTTAGGTGCAGATAATGAGCAAGAAAGAAAGAAGGGAAGGCAAAGGCAAAGGGAAAGAAAAGAGAACGAGAAAGAGAGTGAGAGTGAGAGAGAAAGAAAGGACCATAAACTGCCCAGAGCTTGTCTGTCCAAGGATGTCCCAAGGACACCTCAGAGCTATGCCATTTTCCACTCACATCTGTCATCCATCATCCAGGAAACCACTTGGTACCTCCCCTCCCAGCCCAGGCCCCTTTCTCCGGGTGACATACGAGGTGGGTAACACAAGGGATTTGGGGCGCTACAGTCTGAGATCTAGGTCTGGCTGAGCTTCTACCTGCCTTTTGTGGACCCTTCCTGGTGAGGACAGCCCCCACGGATATGACAGTGAGGACAGGGGAGGCCAAAGTCACATCAAATTCTCAAGCCTGCCCTGGGATGGAACGGGGGTGGGTGGGGGGGGGCGGGGAGGAGACCGAGGGTATGGGCAGGATACTGGAAGCAGCAGGGCTGGCTGTCGCCTGCTTTGCTCTCAGTTGATGTTCGACCTTGAGCAACATGCCAAATGTTCCTCTCTGCCGCGGAGCACCCTCATCTGTCAAGTGGAGAGCGCACCTGCCCTGGGACAGCCTGGCTGGGGAGAGGGAGCCCCGTGGAGAGAAATGGCTTGTCAGCGGGAGGTTGCGGGGCTGCTGTTATTGCTGTAACCTGGCGCTGGCTGTATGTCACTGTCTGCGAGACAGCTTTGCAAAAGGGCCGCTGTCATTTTTCTGCAGCCCTGGACTGGCTGGGGAGGCCGCACATCTGGTAGGTGGGGAGGGCTGGGAGAGACCCTTATTATTATGAAAATCGAGCCATTTGCTGACTTGGTGTGGGTCCAGCTTAATTTCTCTCAGCCCTGAGCCGGTGCCTAACGGGTTTGGATTGGGACTGAGGCAAGCAAGCACCAGGATTTATAGAAATGTCATTCCCCCAAAAGGAGCAGAATGTGACGGGCTGAGGCCTGACTTCTCGTGTCTGTGGTGGGGGCTTGCATGGGTACGTGTGGGTGCAGAGAGAGGCAGAAGGAGAGAAGGAGGTGATGTGTGTAAAGACCATCTGGCTGGGCACAGACCCAGTCCAACATGCCGGGCCTTTCCCCCGTCCTCCCAGATAACTCGGGCTGCCTGCCCGGGGAAGGAACAATAGAATAATCTGGAGACTCCCTTATCCCTCTTAGAGCCTCCTGGGGTCTCTGCCTCCACCTCCTGAGCAGATCTTCTCTCCAAGGTGGGCTGGCTCCCTGGCCCTGTCCAGAGATACTTAGGGCCATTGCCCAGAGCCGAGGCCCCAGGCCCCAGGCCAGTGCCCTCTGTGTGGGGGCTGGACAAGGAGGCTGCGCAGGCACGGCCCTCTCTGGCACCGCCATACTCAGTGCTGTTAAAGCCCTTCTAATCCGTGTTATTTTCTTCTGATCCCTCCCCCGCCTGCTCTGGCCCATGTGCCACCCTGCAGGACCTTTGGTCCCAAGCCGGAGTCCATGCTGAGCCCCAGGCAGGAGGAAGCCAAGCATCTGCTGCAGCGTGCCCGCATGAAGGCCAGGACCCGGCCCCTCCGTGCCAGCCACGATATCGTGCCCGCCGTCGCCCAGGGCAGCCGGTGAGTGGGGCCCTGGCCAAGCTGGCCTAAGAGGTTCTTGGCCAGGAGAAGAGGTCAGATCCAGCTCAAATGCCGCTGCTCACCCACCCCCCCCGTGTGTGTGTTTCGCATGTTAGGCACTTGATTTAATTCATTTGGTCGGTCAACACACACCTTGACTGAGGGCCTACAGAGGGTCAAATATGGAGGATTCGAAGGTGAATGACGCATAATTTGAGCTCCCTGGGCGGGGAGGTACAGATGTCATGGTGTCCAGGGAGAAAGACGGCGGATGTGCATGTCGGCCAGGAAGCCCGTGCCTCCACCTGGGATGGACATCAGAGGCCCCAGAGGACGTGGCTTCTAAGTTGGGGCTTGAAGGGACATGTGTCTCCACTGGAGAGATGGAGGCCCGGTGAGCGTTCCAGGGCAGAAAGACCGAGCTCAGGGGACAGGAGGGAGTGGCGTGAAGGCCGGAAAGCTCAGTGGGGGCCAGTCATGCCTGCCCGCGGGCCTGCTGAACGACTTAGCTGTCTCCAGTAATAGCGGGGAGCCGCTACTGGATTTTAGCGTCATCACACGTGCATCTCAGTAAAGCTGTCCTGGCTGCAGGGATTTGTTGGATCTGGGGGCCCGGGGCAGTAAGGAGGCTGTGCGGTGGTCCTGGCGAGATGTGATAGGGAGGAGGGTAGGGAGACAAGAGATTGCCAAGGGCCAGAAGTGGGCAGGTTGACTGAAGCAACAGAGAAATGGTTAAGACTCTGGAACCAGACCCCTGGGTTTGAATTCAGGCTCTGCCACTTACCGGCTGTGTGCCTTTGGGGGAGTCTCTGTGCCTCAGTTTTGTCATCTGCAAAATGGGAATTGTGATGGTGCCAATCTTACAAGATTGTTGTGAGGATAATCCTGAGTCAGTGCATGTAAGGTATTCAGAACTGTGCCTGGGCCATGGCAAGTATCATGTGAGTGTTCCCTCTTACCAGTAATCATGTAGCTAACTGGAGGTAGGAAATGTGAGAAGGGGAGGCATCCAGGGGCAAAGCCCAGGGTGCTGACTGGTGTCTGGAGGTTTGGTGGGGCCTTAACCAAGGAATGAAGTCTACATGCAGGGTCAGGCTTTGAGGAGGTTGCCCTCCAAATGGGGGAAATGCTAATCAGGCCACTGGGGACAAGATCCTCAGAGGAGGAAAGAGGTCAGAACGGCAGAGTTGGGCATTACCCTGCTTCCATGATGCTAGAGCCATGGGTGAGGGTGAGTTCACTAGGGATGGAGAGACAGGCAAAGAACAACTTCAAGGACATTCAGACCAGCCTTTCACATATGTGGCTGCTCCTAGAGTGGCGTCCCATCCCCACCACTGCCTGCCATTGCACGTGCCAAGCCCCTCCAGGAACCCCCTGCCTGTGGAGTGCATGCCCCAGGGTCAGTGTACCTGGGTGGGCCTGACATGGGGCTGCCAGCCCATGCCAAACTGTGCCAGCCCCGAGCAGGACATATGTGCTTTTGTCACAATGATGGGCACACTGGGTGTGCTGGTTTCCATCACTGTGTGATACTGGAGGGCGAGAGGGTTCTCAGTGGAACGGGGCCATATGCTTTTTGATGGGGAACGCTGAGCCCGCTCATTGAAGGCCAAGATCTGTCATGGCGCCATTGAGATGACGCCAGCATGAGTTGAGGGCTGAGGCCTGCCTCTGAGTTCAGTGTCATTGTGACCCCTACGAGCGGGGCTCAGGAGATCCTAAATCCTGGCAAGCTGTGCCAAACAGCTTTTCTTTCCACACGTGTGCCCTGTCTCACTCTGGTTGGAGGAGCCTAGTTAGGAATGGGCATGGCTTCTCTGAAGCATCCTAACTATTCTTCTCTCCATATATATGGAGCCTAGAGCCTTAGACTTTCACAGAGCCCTCCGCTCCACTTTCTGTAGGTTACTTAGGTTGGGGTGGGGAGCCTCAAAATAGGCAGGACTATTTGCAAAACAGATGTGACTGTGTAAATGTGCTCTTGGACACTTCCTGTTCCCCAGATTAGGCGAGCAGCTCATAACAACCCCAATCGCCAACCTTAAAGTATGTTCCCTTTTGTCAGGCTGTCCCCTGGCTATAGAAATGCTATAGAAATGCAAGGTGACCCACTTTAGCAGCTGCCGTGTCCAGAAAAGAATTACTTTGACTTGGCAGCTCTGGTGAATCCTCAGAGGGTGCAGCTGAAACCTCAATGCCAGATGGCTTGCTGCAGATGCTTCTAAAGGTTATGCTTGTCAGCTCACCCTGGAGAGCCATGCTGAGTTAACAAGGAGATGCCACACAGGCTCCGGCCCGAGTCAGATGCAGGAGCGCCCCCTCCCCTCTCCAACCCTCAGCCCAGGGCATCACTCCTTCCAAAGAGCAGCTTGGTAAAAGATGGATGGAAGAGTGGGGGTTGGGCAGAGCAGTCTCTAGAAGGCCTTCTTTATCCTTGGCCTGGCTGGAGGTGGTCAGGGCACGTATGGACAGCCAGGCTTGTCCAGGAGGTAGAGAGGTGTCAGTAGCTGCATTTTCTGGAAGCAAATCCATGTAGAAATTGAGCAGCTCCTGGAAACAGGCTTTTGCCATTTTGGGGACAGGCACACCTAGGTTGGAATTCCTAATCCCAGGGCAGAACACGGCAGCAAGACGCAGGGCCTGGGAAGGCGACCCCTGAGGGCTATCGGCCTGTGTCAGGCAGCAGCTGTGTTAAGAGGGCAGAGCTTGTGTAGGTCGCACTGACCGTGTGGTGAGCACAGCATTGTTGTAGGAAGCGGGCCTCCAGAAAGGGGCCTTCCCACAGACGCCAGTTCAATTCCAGGTCCTGGGCCAGAAGCTCCTCCCCCGAGGGGGGTGATGGCTGAGGGAGCCTGAGGGACTTTGCAGGTACGGCACTTGTTTGCTACGGAAGTACCTTGTTTGCTGTGCCCTTGTCTCCCAGGCCCTCAGCTGCCTGTGCGCCCTGTTCCCAGCACTGCTGCCAGAGGCCTCCGGTTTCAGCAGTGGGGTTGAAGGTACCTTATGGGATCAGACTCTCCTTCATTTCTCCTTTTAGAACAAAAATGTTATTTCTGCCTTTGGCATGAATTCCAGGATGACTCAATTCACCATCCTGTATGTAAAAGTTAAGGTCACTGGCGCGTCTGATGGCACCTGGACTCCCTTATTAGATTAGGAATGTACTGCTTTTAAAGCCAGGCTTTCTTCTTCCTCCCCAATGTACAGCCCACACCCTGACAGCATAGCAGGGCAGTGCCGTCTGGGGCCTGCAGAGGGCATGCCGTGTGCCGGCCAGTGTGCCGCCGGTGAGCCTCTCCCTGCATTGATTGGGCCTGGCAGCCAGGGTATCCTGCCTGTGTGTGTGCAGGGGTGGAGGTGGGGGGTTGGAGCTTCTTCTCAATGGGGCGCCTCTTGTTTCTGGGGGAGGGGAGGGGATGCTGTTTCTCTGGCCAGAGCCTCCCGTTCCTGGGTAAGAATGCTCTGGAGAGCTGACCCAGGAACCCCACATAGCCAGTGACCCCACCAGAGTGATTGTCCCCCAGCACTTTCTTCGGATCCTGAGAGGTTGAAGACATACAGGTGCAGGTGGGATCCTCAGGGGCAAGAGCTTGGGGGCTCCAGTGCCTCACAGTCACCAACAGAAAACTGTCACCAGCACAGGGATTGGAGGGACCTCCCTAGCCATGTTGAGACAAGCAGGGAGACCCTGAACCGTTCTCACCAGGGGCGGGGGTGATCCTAGTGAAGAACTTCACATCTCTGCTGCGAACTCTTCTCTGAATGCAGACCCACGTTAGGACTTTTGGGGGGTCCTGGGCACTCTTGCCATCTCTGCCTTCCTCCATAAAAAAAGTTAAAAAGTTATAGTTTATGACCATGCTGGTTTAAAAGGTATTGTATGTTTTCTTGGACTTAAGAGTTTGTTTTCTTCTGACTCGAAGAGAAATGAAAACATTTTCATGGGTCCCTGGAAGCATCACGGCCCATAGGCACTGTGGCTGCTGTGCCTAATGGATAAATTGGCGCAGCCTGAGTGTGAGTTCCAGAAAACAGGATGACGGACAGCTCTGCAGGATTCCTCAAGGCAGCTCTTTAAGCACAGGCTCTGCTCTGGTCTCAAAGCAGGAAGATCCAGTTGCTTAGCAGTAGTTCTTTAAAAAAAGAAATTCCTCCTGGAGCAGAGCGAATTGAAAGAAAACGCTGGAGTCAGGAGTAGCGGCAGATGTGCAGCCCCCATCCCCGACTGCCTCCTAAGGCAGGGTAAACATTTACTGAGCACCTAGCCTCAGCCTCCAGGGAGGCCCCCAGTGCTTGCACTGTGGCACTGTAAGCTGCATGATTTTCAAGTGCTCACCCCCACCTTAGTGTGCACCAGGGGTGGGGACACAGTGCTGTGGCATGGCGGAACCTCGCCCTAGCTTTATCCTGCCAGCTCAGCACTCACAGTTAGGTGACCACCAGCCCCTCTCCTCTGCAGTCAGAGGCCTGGGGTCCAAGGCTTGAGCCTCTTGTCTGTCTGGCGTGGCACGGGTGAGGGAGTGCCTTACGCTTTCAGCCATAACTGGTTCCCATGGAGCTTTGGAGAAAATCAGTCTCGAGCAATTTAACCTCTCAGACCACCCCTTGATTCCAAAGGGGAGGCTTTATACATCATATGTCTCTCCCTAAGCAATCCAGACCATTCTAATCCATCTGGATTGTGAGGGTAGTCAGTGGCTTTGTCAAGGCACAGAGGGAGTAGATGCTTAGGAATGGCCAGTGACACCCCCAGGGCACAGGTCATGTTCACCTGAGCCAGACATGCAATGCCATTTATCCATACACAGAGCACAGCCAGGAAGGGATCCATTGTCCAGTCCAGTAAATGTTATGAATAGGTTTAGATGTCAGCAGTTCAATTGCCACTCTTCCCACTGGCTGGCATGTTTTAATAGTAATTGTTAAGCATGTATGGCTTCTTCCTGCTGTTATCTGAATGCCTTTCCTTTTGATCGCAAACCGTATTTGTCCTTCCGTGGGCAGCTGTGAACTTGGTGAGGGAGGAACTCATATTAAGACAGCCTTTTTGAAAGCACTGGCATCCTTCTTCCTGAATCACTGAAGCATCTAGTTAGAGGAAGGATTAGTAAATCCACTAATCACTAACATACATTTCATTATAATAAGTTGTTGGGAGTGTCTAGGCAAGCTATGTGCTATGTACAGTATAATGTGGGAGAATTCACTTCTCTGGGGAGAGGGAGGGGAGAGGAGGAGGAAGGTAAGTGTAGGAAAGACTTTGTAGACACTTTGAGGACTAAAACCAGTAACATAACACATGAAGTATGCCAGCATAGGTAGTTGTGTATACAGGCACACTTCTGGGTACTTGGAAGAAAGTAGCAGGTCCCTAAAATCCAGGCTCCTGTCCCTAGATAGGACTTGACTACCAGCATGGTCAGTGTCTAGTTCTATTTTCGCAGCTCCTTCTGAAGGAGAAAGAGTATCCACAGCTTGCCTTTCTAGCTGCTCAGGTGCCGGTCAGCCTGGGACTGGTCTTTTGTGGCCCCTCCGTTATAGGAATAGAGAGGGACCATGTGGTCATGGCAGTGCCATCCAGCACTAACATTTTGTGAGTCTGTAATAACAAATGAGCGGCACAGGTGTTCAGAGGAAGGAGATAATATCATGGTGTATTAGTCAGGTTTCTTCAGAGAAAGAACCATCAGAGAAAGAGCCAACAGAAGATATATACATTTCTCCATACGTGTGTGTGTGTGTGTGTGTGTGTGTGTATATATATATATATATATATATATATACATACATATATATATATATGGAGAGAAAGACAGAGATTTATTTTAAGGAATTGACTCATGTGATCATGGAGGCATGGTAAGTCCAAAATCTGCACGGTAGGCTGGCAGGCTTCAGACTCAGGGAAGATAGTAACTCAAGTCTAAAGGCAGTCTACTGGCAGAGTTCCTTTTTGCTCAGGGAGGATCGGTGTTTGTGCTGTTAAGGGCGTCAACTGATTGGATGAGGTCAGCCACATCGTGGAGGGTTATCAGCTTTATTAAAAGTCCACCAATTTAAATGTTAATCTTATCTCAAAAATGTCTTTCACAAAAACATCCAGAATAATGTTTGATGAAGTCCCTGGGCACCGTGGTACCAATGAAGTTGACACATAAAATTAACCAACACACGCGGTGTCTGTACATCAGGTAACACTTAACAAATAGGATTCAAATGCAGACAGGTCAAGAAGAAAGTCTGCAGTATCTGACACAAGAGTGTTGCATGAGGTGCGCGAGGCAGGAAGCCTAGTGGCCGTACAGGTGGGGGTGGGGGACAGAGCTGGGGAGGAAAGCAGTGAGGAATGTGGAGGGCCTCCGTTTTTACCATAAAGACGGTGAACTTGATCCTTTGCCCCCTTGGGGGATGGTGTGATGAAGCTGTGCTTCAGAAGGACCCACAGACAGGAGGCAGTGGGGACTGGACCCAAGGCAGGGGTCCAGCGTGAGAGATAAAGAAGCGATAAATGAGAGCAATGGTGTGAGTCCCAAACACTTACCAGTAGACTGATGGGACGCCACTGTAGGGAGAAGGAAGGGAAAGTAGAGCCCTACTTAGGTGGCCTTTGATAGGAAATGCCGGGAAACTCGGATGTCCAGCAGGCTCCCAGTGTGAGATGTAGGCAGGCATTTTCTTGAGCGGGCAGGACTTGACCGCCAGCACAGCGTTTCCCAGAGCAAAGGTTGGTGAGCAGAGTGTGAAGCTTCTTCCCGGCAGGTACTTGTCCTCCTCACAGCTTTTCTGAGTGTGTGAGGGGCTGAGGAGGGCGGGTACAGAAGGTGGGCGCTGGGACAGACAAGACGGAGAGTCCAAGGAGAAACACTGGTGTCATTCTGTCTAAATGTTGTCTAACCAAGATGATTAGAAACCCAGAGTGGACACTTTGGGGAGCAAGAATGTGTAGAAACCCTGACTTTGGGTCCCACACAGTCTGTGTAGAGACATATATAATTCACTCTTCCTATTAAATCTTTATAACAAATATAGCATTGGGAGAATTCATCACTACCAGATGCCTGTGAACGCCAAGCTCACTTCCTCTTGAGCGAGTGCGCACACACACACACACACACACACACAATGAGGATTTTGCTATCATCCTTCTGTACATCCTGTGTTCAATATAATGATTTATTTTGATTCAAGCTGAGCCAGGCAACGGAAGGAAAGCCAAAAGTAAAGAAGCTCCTGTTGATTTTGTTGAGCGCCCTGTGTCAGGTTCAAGATGGGCGTGGAAGCCACTCCGGTTGCCTGCCTGACTCCCCAGGAACACGGGGTGGGGTCACTGTGGGGTCGTAGTGACCACGGAGCACCGTGGAAGTCTGTGCCCCGTGGTGCCGCATCTTCTGCCTGTCACCTGTCTCCTCCTTCCTCTCCCCACCCCCCACCCCCAACCAGAGATGGCCGGAGAAGTCCAGCCCTGGACCCCAGGATGACCTTCGCCTGCAGAGACAACCTCCAGAACGGGAACACAAGTGACTCCTCCAGCGGGGAGTCCAGCAGCGGGCAGTGGCCGAAGCGGGGCCCCTCCCCGTCCCGCGTCCGCTTTGAGGACGAGTCGGTCCGCGACGCCGAGTCCCGCTACCTGGAGCGGCTGCAGCAGCGCCAGCGCCAGGCGCGGAGCTGCGCGCTGCGGGCGGCGGCTCAGGGCGCCCTGCGCTCCAAGCCCGACGTCGCGCACTACACCCGCGCGGGCGGCGCGCGCGGGGCGGCGGGCGAAGCGGCGCTCTGCAGGCCTGGGGGCCGGCTGGACCCGGGGGCCGTCCCGGCGCCGCCGTGGAAGTGCCGAGCCTGCGGCAGCCGCGTCGAGGACCGACGGCCCGCGCAGGGGAAGGCGAGCCCGGACCCGCGGGCCCTCCGGGAGGGCGGCTGTGGGGCGCCGGGGGTGCTGGCGGAGCCGCTTAGCTCTCAGGGCCCGAGCGCCCCCTTCAGGCTCTTCCCTGCCGAGCCGGGGCTCCACGCGGAATGGATCCGGGAAACGCACATCGGAGACTCGGCGCGGCCCGACGAGGTGGACTCCGCCCTGGACAGCACGGACACCTCGGACAGCTGCAGGACCGACAGCGAGGAGGCTGGGGCCTCGCAGCCCCGCAGGGCCCGCGGCCCGACCCGAGGCAGCAGCCCCCGTCCGCGGGCCGCCAGGCCTCGCGGAGGCCCCAGGTCGTTCCGGAAGGCTGAATCCCAGCCGCCCGGGAGCCCTCAGGCCCGCCACTGCCTGCCTGGGGTTGGTCACGTGGAGGCTGCAGCCGAGGTGAAAGAAGGCAGAGGATGGCCTGACGGGACTCTCTTTCCCAGAGGAGACGCTTTCCCTACGCGTCCCGTCCTGGAATCTAAAAGGGCTTCCCTGGGATCCCAGTGGCAGGCTGGCCCCGGGCTGGGGAATCACTGGGTTCAGCCGGTGGATTCCAGGGCTCTGTGCAGGTCAGCCTGTGCCCCGGCGTCTTCCGTGAAGCCGGGGTCCTCGGCGCCAGGCGGACAAGCCCAGGATGTAGAAAACCATGAGTCTCTGGAGGCTGTCTCTGCGTCCTCCCTGCGACAGAGCCATGCAGAGCCCTCTGCCGTGCACCGGGCCCAGCAGCCAATCTCTCCCCTCTCCCCTGGAGGCTGGGTGCCAACCCCTCCGTCTTCAAGGAAGACCACCTCGCCTGTGTGTCACAGGAAGGCGGCCCTGGCCAGGCCCAGCAGGCTGGGTGAGCAGGGAGAGCCCGTGGACACCCCTCCGCCTCCTTCAAGAAGTGTAGTTCCCAGGACCTGTGAGCGCTCACCCACACAGACCCAGCCCTATAGCTCCCAGGTCGGGCACCCCCTGCTGGCCCTGTCCACCAACAACTGCAACAACAGCGTGCCTCCGGGGCTGCAGGAGCCCTGGGGAGGAGCCCTGGGTGAGGGCCTGGCCCGCAAGGGCCTCTGCAGCCAGGCGCCGGCCCCAGAGAACCACCGCGATGGTAAGCAGAGACCCCAGGCCAAGCACCTGAGTCCTCCTTTACCTTTCATCGTAGTAGATGACACAGGGGGCGCCTGGGTGGCTCAGCCGATTAAGTGTTTGACTTCCGCTCAGGTCATGATCTTACAGTTTGTGAGTTCGAGCCCCGCGTTGGGCTCTGTGCTGATGGCTCAGAGCCTGGAGCCTGGTTCGGATTCTGTGTCTCCCTCTCTCTCTCTCTCTGACTTGTCCCTCACTGGTTTGCTCGCTAGCTCTCTCTCTCTCTCAAAAATAAACATAAAAAAAAGTAGTAGATGACACAGCTGTGCACACTCCCAGCAACCTTTTGAAGCCCAGAGCAGCAGCACGTGTTCCGGAAGTGATGGGGTCTGTGGACTGGCTGCAAGACTCAACTTCAGCCTGGAGGCAGATTAGCCAGCTCCTGCTGTGGGCCGGGGGGAGGGGGGGAGAGGCAGGGAGAGGCAACAGCTCCAGATTTACTATTTGCCTAGAGCAGTAAATGCCTAATAATCACGTTTGAAGCCCTTTCCTTCAACAACTTCATTTCATTCATTCCCTCATTCCCTCATTCATTCATTCAACATTGAGCACCTATTACATGCCAGACACCATACCAGGCATTGTAGGAGATGCATAAGTGAATTACTTCAGCAGGAGTCCTGCCCTTGAGACCGTCTGTGGCCGGGCAGACGTGCTGTCTGGAGGGCCCGGTGACCGGTGAGGCAGAGCCCTCCCAGATCCCTGGGCAGGCTCGTGGTTTCAGCAGGCAGGGCTGCAGAAGGGTGTAGGGCATCAGTAGCCTTAGGCTCTGATCCCTGATGTGGTGATCTGAGGTGAGCAACTCAGCCATTTGCACTTAGGCAGGGCTGGCATGTTCGCCCCACACAGCCTCGCCTTAATGTGTCTATGAATTAATGTGTCCCTGGGGCTCAGATGGCTTGGAAGGGAGCCAGGGCTTGGAAACACAGTGGAGGAGGAGAGGGCAGAGAGCTGACTGTGCTGACCTTACTGAGGATGTGGATGCCAAGCCCCTCCCCCCCCCCCCCCAGTGTGTTAGCCACCCCCTCGCTGCGCAGGGGGACATAGACATTTTCTCTCACCGTCCCTTGCTCATGTGAAACTTAAAAGCAGGCACTACCTTGAGCTGCCTTTTGCCCTGTTCTAAGGTATGTAGTTTCCTTCCATAGGGTGGGCTCTGGGCCAGCTGCTGGCTGCCTCTAACCACTTCCCGAGGAGCTCCTATTCTACCAGCTGCTGGGCTTTCTGGGCAGCCTGGCCCTTACCTCTTCAGACTTCTCTCATTAGCCAGGAGGTCCTGGGCACACTCCGTAAGCCCTCTGTGCCCCAGGCTCGTCCTCTGTAACCCAGGGTAATAAGAGAACCTGTCTTCTAGGAACCTATGAAATAATGTCTGTAGAGGGTTTCATTCATTGCCTGGCACATCAAGAAATGCTCAAAAAATGGCGCCTGTCGTTAAAACTGTGAGACATCACATCCAGCAAGACTGTGGTTTTCATCCCAAGAATGCAAAGCTTCCCCATTCCCAACTGTGTCTCTTGATCTAAAAGGGACATGACTTCCCACGACTTCCTCACTGAACAGGCAGTTATACACCATCTACCGTGTGCCAGCTGCCGGGCCGAGGGCGGTGGGTTCCAGCCATAAGCCAGGCCCCTCGTGCCCGGCCTGCCATGGGGGTGTCTGACCACTGCCTCTACCGCTCTCCTGGGGCCCCCAGTTCTCTCCAGCTTCCTCTGGCTCTCCTACCTCTGTTGTGGGACATGTCCCCTCCCCTGACCATGACCTGTGAGGATGGCTCAGGTGACAGGGAGGGCTGTGGTTGTTGCAGGAGGACACCAGGGCTTTCTTGACTCAGCAGCTGTTGGCACTGTCAGCTCCGTGGGCATCACCCTGTCCCCAGCCCCAGAGGAGACAGAGTCCAGCCAGGAACCAGAGGGAGGCCTACAGAGGACAGAGTCGAGTTCCAGAGGGCATCTGTCAACTCGGTGAGTGACAGGAGCCAGAGCCCTGGCTGCAGGAGGTGGGGGACCGGGAGCACTGGGTGGGAAAAGAGACTCCCTGGCATGCCCAACCTCACTGCTCCCAGATCCTTAGATTGTTCCTCGACTTATTCCAGGCATGGCACCATAACACTCCTCTCCCAGCCGTTTCCAGCCTGAGGTACTTGCGTATTCATTCACCAAGCCTCAAGCTCCGGACACAGCTGAGCACACAGTCCCAGCCCTCAGGGTGCTCCCAGGATGAGGCTGTTTGAGAGGGCTTGTTTCTGACTTGGACGCTGAGGAAGCAGGCCGGCATCCACCCTTCCATTCTGTCCTTCAGCGCGGGAGGGTCTGAGTCCTGGCCCTGGGGCTCCAGAGCCTCCGTGAGCCAGCGCTCTGGCCAGAACCTTCTTTTCTGCACTGCACACCATTCCTGGTACCCCTGAGAGCCAGCTGTCCATCCAGTGCTGTGTGCTCCCCAGAACTCCAGCCCCCTACCTCAGTTTCCCCTGACGTCTCCATGAGGGTGCCTGAGAGACGCTGACGCAGCTGCTTCCCCAGGTCCTCTTCCTGGCAGACAGGCCACGCGCGGTCATCGCGGCCGCTGCCTCCTTCCCTCCCTGTCTGCCCCACTGGCGCGTCTCCTCAACTCCTGCGTCCTCCTTTGTCACCTTCCTCCCCGTCTGAGCTGCATCACTTCTTTCTGACAGCTGTCGCCCTGTCTGCTCTCTGCCTTCACTCTCGCCCCCACACTTCCGTCTCTGCACAGCAGTCAAAGGTATCTTTTTATAACTGCAATTAAATAATGTCATTCCTCCTGCTTAAAACTCCGAGTGATTTTGTTTCTCCCACTTGGGGTAGAATCCCAGCCCCCTTCCTTGGCTTACATGCTCTGTGTGATCTGGCACACCTGCTGACCCCACCGGTCCCTCTTGCCCCCTTGCTGGCTCTGTCCCAGTGCTGGTGGCCTGGCCCTGTTGTGCTCTCGAAGGCTCGGGGCCTCTTCCTGCCCCAGGGCCGTGGCATCGCTGTGGCCTCTGCAGGACGGCCTCCTTCTTATCATTCAGCTGAGCGTAAACACTATCTTCTCAGAAAGGCCTTTCCTGGCCACTCTGTCACTCTCCGCTTGACATTTCTCAACAGTCGCTGTTGGTTTTTCTCCTTTGTTCACTAGTCTGTTGTCTGTGAGCTCCTGAGAATAAGGACCTTGTCTGTTCATCACAAGCCCCAGTGCCTAGAAGGCACGGAGGCTCTGAAGAAATACTGAGGGGACGACGGCCGGATGCGTGGGCCAGCCTGTGGTTGGGCATGACCGTGGGTCTTGTCTGAGCTCTTCTCCCTAAAAGCTACCCTAGAAGAGCATCCTGCACGTGCCCCCCCCACCCCAGCCTCTCTTCTGCAGCCGCTGTCACGGCCTCCACCGGGCCCAGGTGCTGGCCCAGCTAGGCCCACAGGCCCCTGAGCTGCCGTCTGTCCTGGCCTCGGCCCCCTTCATGTCCACCCTTGCATTTCAGAGCATCACCAGGGGTCAGTGCGGGACCCGGCCCGCCCTCTGCTGCCCCTTCCGACAGGAGCAAGAAAAGCGGCAGCAGCTTGGCCTCCACCCTGGGGCTGAAAAAGTTCTTCTTGGCCCTGGGCCAGGGCACAAGGCCCAAGCTGGGCAAGGCCCGCAGCTACAGCGTGGAGCAGCTGCGGGCCCCTGCGCCTGGCCCGGCGTCACACACCAGCACCCCCAAAGTGAAGAGAGCCCCATCGTTACAGTCCCTGCATCTGGTGAGTCTGAAGGGTCCCAGCCAAGAGGTGGGCGATGCCAGTGCCGGTGTAGCTGCCCATGGAATGGAAGGGGACAGGAGCAGTGAAGTGCAGAGGAGGCCGCCCAGGGAGCCCAGGTGGAGAAAGGGAAGCTACTGGCCTCCCCACAGTGGATCCACAAGGCCTGGCTACCCCGGACACCGTGGCGTGGGCAGTGTCCCATGGTTGTTCTTCCGGCTGCTCCAGCTCGGGCTTGCCCTAAACTTCTCCCCCCTCTCCCTCCCCCCACCTCCGTCAACTCTGCCACCTCTGCCAAGTCCTTGAGTCTGTTGCCTGATCATTCTGGAACCTTCTCCATGGTCACAGTGACTCTGTTAGTCTAGCATAAATCACTCTGTACCCAGACTGACATCAGGCATGTCTTTCCCCACCTGGTTACACAGGGGTCCTTCTGATGGGCACATCTGCTTATGCTGGCCCCTTGCTGAACATCCGCCTTTGGGCCCTTATCACCCGCAGGATGAAGTTCAGATCACCTGACGTGGCAGAGGGCTTCTGTGATCTGCCTTCATCTCTCCTCACTCCCCTTCGAACACCTGACCTTGCAGTTCTGTAAGCAGGCCACACACCCTCTGACTTTGAACCTTCACCTGAAATGTTTCCCTCACCTTCTCTCCCTGCTAAGGTCTGCTCACCCATCAACACTTCAGGAATTGCCTCCTCCAGGAAGCCACTTCCAATCCTCTCTTGGGCTGAGCTAGGACACCTCTGCTCTGTGTTCCCATCTCATCCCGTGCTTCCCTCCTTTAGGGAACTTGCAACATAGTATTTTAATCGATTTTTGTCTGTCTCCCCTCACTGGAGTGTGAATTCTTTGAGGGAACACCGCTTGATCTTCTATTCCCAGTACAGGTTTCCCCCGCTATCTAAAAGTAGAGCGTTTCCTGTGAAAACTTTCATGAGCTGAAATGGCATAAATTGAAGAAGCAATTACCATTAAATTATCTGGGAAAATTTTGAGCACCCTCTGACCCAAAAAATAACCTCTTTCAGGCTTTTCTGATACCCTAGGACACATCTTGCTAATGGATGCACAAAGTAAATCGAGATAAAGCACAGATGCTCACAGACACTGTTCAAAGCTAGGGCGGCTTGATGCTGAGATGCTGAGTCGGGTCCCTGGGGAAGGAGCCTGGTGAGGCCACTATGGGTGCTCTCCCCCACAATGGCTCAATGCAGAACAAATGCTGAATGCTATTTTTGCTTTTCACCTCTTTTTGTAAAAATGAAAATCCTCCGGATTTCTTTTAGTCAAAACAGGTACTAATATAGGTCTTTCATAAAAGCAAACGTTCAAAAAGTGGGGGACTCCTGTGCTGAGGACAGTGGCTAATACATCATACACGTGTCAGACACAGGGAACGAAGAGGCGAGTCAGTGAGTGAATGAATGACTGCAGGCAGCTAGCAGCGGTGTGCTAACTCTCAACTAGGTTTCTGAAAACCCTGCTCTGGTCAGGGTGTTGCCAGGTATTATGTTTGTCCTTCTGCTCCCTGCCCCTAGCCCTGTCTGTCCCTTTTGCAGAGCAACGGGGGTGATTGTGGTTTGGGGCAATGGAGGCTTCCATTTTTCAGGCTGAAGTAGGGAAGAGAACACAGGCGGAAAGAAAACGCCGTCGGTTTGTTTTGTACCAGGAGCCGTACCTGGTACGAGGTCGGTGCTCACTACATGTTTCCTGGATGAAAGGCCAAGAAACAGAAGCATAATGATAGTAAGCCAGGCAGAAACGTCTGGAGTGGCGCTGTGCTCCAGGAATTCACTTTTCTCGTGAAGTTAGATTTGTCCCCTGTGTGTCTGAGCCATGGCGTCTGGGTGTATCACTGTCAGAACCTCGATCTCTGTAAACCCTTGAGGGAAACGGCCCCGCCGTTGGTGTGGCAGCGAGGTTATCAGCCGTGCAAGCTGCGCCGGCTAAGATAGAAAGGAAGCCGGCCACCAAAGGGTGGGAACAAGTGCAGGGCGGACTGAGCAGCACAGGGAACTGTCCAAGGAAGATAAACGAGACTCTGTCTCACCTGGAAGTATTCATGACACATCTCAGGGCGAACTACCTTAGACTCTGGCGCTGCCAAGTGTGGGCAGGTGCTGGCTGGGTCTGGTGTTCATGTTGCCCTCCTGGGTGGGCATGGCCCCATTCTCACGCCCGACCCCACCGGTGGCTCCCACGCTTCCCCTCCCCCTGCCCGCAGCCGTGGCTTTTTGACATTTGACCTTGCATCCTCTGGAATGCTGTCCTCTGTCTTCTCTGGGGAACTCCTCAGCTTTCGGGTCCCAGTTAAGCATGACTTCTCCCAGGAAGCCTCCTTGAATGCTGATCCAAGGCTGGGCTCCTTCTTAGTCTCTTGGTAACATCCCTTCTTGCTAGAGAGCGTGGGCTCCAAATGTGATAAATAATATGCCTTGTGTTTAAAAGTCTGCTACTCCCTGCCTGTGTCTCCACCACCCCCACCCTCACAGTAGCCTCCTCAATGCGTCAGTTTCTAGAACATAGATCTAACTTCATAAACTTCTGATTAACATCACTCAGTGGCTCCTTAGCGGGCCGTATAAGGTTCGGTTCGGGCCCCAGGCTCCAGCCCATCTCCTGTCACCTCTGCAGCCCAGCCACCCAAACCGTGTTCCAGAACGTATGCTTTCTGTCATCTCTCCGTGTCTTTGCACCTGCTGTTTCTTCTCTCTGGAGCACCCTTACCAGTCTTCACTTGGGGAGCTCACGCTTCAAGCCTCACACAGGTGTCAGTTTCTCCAGTGTCCCCAAACCTCCTAAACTGGAGTCTCTCTCTGCTTCCCCCGCACATCCATCTTTTAGCCCAGCGCTTACAACATGTAGTTAGGGCTGTTAACTCACCTGTGCTCACTCCCACTTCCACTGATGGGTGAACTCCTTGAGGGATTTTTGTCTTGTCCACCTTTTTATGCACAATGTTTTAAGGTGCATACTTACATTTTGTTTTAATTCCAGTACAGTTAACATACAATGTTATATTAGAGTCAGGTGTACAATATAGTGATTCAACAATTCTGTATAATACCCACTGTTCATCATGATCTGTGTACTCTTAATCTCCTTTACGTATTTCAACCATCCCCCTACGCACCTCCCCTCTGGTAACCACCAATTTGTTCCCTGTAGTTAAGAGTCTGTGTTTTGGTTTGTCTCTTTTTCTCTTTGTCCATTTGTTTTGTTTTTAAAAAAATTTTTTTTAACATTTATTTATTTTTGAGAGACAGAGCTTGAGCAGGGCAGGGTAGAGAGAAAGAGAAGGAGACACAGAGTCTGAGAAGCAGGCTGCAGGCTCTGAGCTGTCAGCACAGAGTCCAACTCAGGGTTCGAACCCACGAACTGCGAGATCATGACCTGAGCCAAAGTCAGACGCTTAACCGACTGAGCCACCCAGGCACTCGTTTCATTTCTTAAAGTCCACATATGAGTGAAATCATATGGTATTTATCTTTCTCTGACTTATTTTGTTTAGCATAATACTCTGTAGACCTATCCATCTTGTTGTAAATGGCAAGATTCCATTCATTTCCATGGCTGAATAATATTCCATTATATATATATGTATATACATATATATATCCATTTATCTATCTATCTTTACATTTATATAGTCATCTATTAATGGGCACTGTAAATGGCAAGATTCTATTCATTTCCATGGCTGAGCAATATTCCATTCCATATATATCCATTTATCTATCTATCTATCTATCTCTACATTTATATATTATCTATTAATGGGCACTGGGACTACTTCAATAATTTGACTATTGTAAATAATGATACAGTGATCAGAGGGGTGCATGTATCTGTTTGTATTAGTGTTTTCATTTTCTCTGGGTAAAAACCCAGTAGTAGAATTGCTGGGCAACTCTGTTCTTCATTTTCTATTTGTTTGGATTACTTTGAGAAGAATAGCATTAATTCTTCTTTAAATGTTTGGTAGAGGAGTGCCTGGGTGGCTCAGTTGGTTAAGCATTCAACTCTTGATTTTGGCTCAGGTCATGATCTCACGGTTTGTGAGCTTGAGCCCCACATCAGGCTCCAAGCTGACAGTATGGAGCCTGCTTGGGATTCTCTCTCTTTTCCTCTTTCTGCCCCTCCCCTGCTTATGCATGTGCACTCTCTCTCTCTTTCAAAATAAAAAAAAAATAAACTTAAAAAGTAAAATAAATAAATAAATAAATAAATAAATAAATAAATAAATGTTTGGGAGAATTAACCTGTGAAGTTCTCTGGCCCGGACTTCTATTGGGAGTTTTTGATTACTGATTCAGCTTAATTGCTGGTATTCAGTCTGTTCTAGTTTTCTATTTCTTCCTGATTCAGTTTTGGGAGGTTATATGTTCTAGGAATTTATCTGTTTTTTTTTTAGGTTTCCAGTTTGTTGGCACATAATGTTTCATAGTATTCTCTTATAATCCTTTGTATTTCTGTGGTGTCATTTGTTATTTCTCCTCTTTCATTTCTGATTTTGTTTATTTGAATCCTGTCTGCCCCCCCCCTTTTTTTTTGATGAGTTTGGCTAAAGGTTTAAAGTTTTGTTGATCCTTTCAAAAGAACCAGCTCCTGGATTCATTGATCAACTTCATTGGTTTTTTTAGTTTCTATTTTGTTTATTTGTGCTCTAATGTTTATTATATCCTTATATATTATCTCGCATATTTATTATATCCTTCCTTTTGCTGGTTTTGAGTTTTGTTTGTTATTCTTTTTCTAGTCCCTTTAGTTGTAAAGTTAGGTTGTTTATTTGAGATTTTTCTTGCTTTTTGAGGTAAGCCTGTGTTGCTGTAAACTTCCCTCTTAGGACAGCATTTGCTGCATCCCAAAAATTTTGGACCATTGTGTTTTCATTTTTATTTCTCTCTATGTATTTTTTAATTTCTTCTTTGATTTCTTGGTTGACCCATTCATTTCTTTAGTAACAAATTATTTAACCTCCATGTATCTGTGTTCTTTCCAGATCTTGTGGTTGATTTCTAGTTAAACTAGAAACTAGAAAAGATAAGTGGTCAGAAAAGATACATGGTATGATTTCGATCCTTTTGAATTTGTTGAGACTTGTTTGTGGCCTAATATGTGATCTATTCTGTAGAATGTTCCATGTGCACTTGAAAAGACCATGTATTTAGATGGATGCTCTGAATATGTCTGTTAAGTCTGTCTGGTCCAGTTTGTCATTCAAAGCCACTATTTCTTTGTTGATTTTCTGTTTGGATGATCTGTCCATTGATGTTAGTGGAGGGTTAAAGTCCCCTACTATTATTGTATTGCTATCGATTACTTCCTTTATGTATGTTATTAACTGCTTTAAGAATTTGGGTGCTTCCATGTCGGATACATTAATACCTACAATTGTTATATCTTCTTGTTGGATTGTCCCCTTAATGGTGATATGGTCTCTTTCTTTGTCTCTTGTTACAGTCTTTGTTTTAAATTCTATTTTGTCCTATGTAAGTATTGCTACCCTGGCTTTCTTTTCACATCCTTTTGCATGCTAAATGCTTCTCCATTGCCTTGCTTTCAATCTTCAGGCATCTTTAGGCCTAAAATAAGTCTCTTGTAGGCAGCAGGTTTTGCTTTTTTTAGTCCACTCCATCAGCCTATGTCTTTTCATTGGAGAGCTTACTCCATTTACAGTCAAAGTAATTACTGATACATATGTACCGTTTTGTTACTTATTTTGGGGTTGTTTTTGTAGTTCTCTCTGTTCCTTTCTTCTCTTGCTCTTCTTTCTCATGGTTTGCTGGCTTTCTTTTGTTATATCCTTGGATTTCTTTCTCTTTATTTTTTGGGTATGTGTTACTGGTTTTTGATTTGTGGTTGCTATTAGTTTTGTATATAATATCTTCTGCATATAGCAGTCTATATTAAGTTGATGATAACCTCAGTTTGAACCCATTCTTTACTCCTCTCCCCCCACTCCATGTTTTGAGTATATGGTGTCATACTTTACAGCTTTTTATTTTGTGAATACCTTGCCTGGTTTTTATAGATACACTTAATTTTACTGCCTTTGTGCTTCTTAGGTTTCTTACTCCTACTTACAGTCTTTCCTTTCAACTCAAAAAGTTCCCTTCAACATTTCTTGTAGGGCTGATTTAGTGGTCATGAACTCCTTTATTTTTTGTTTCTCTGGGAAACTCTTTATCTCTCCTTTTCTGAATGATAGCCTTGCTGTATAGAGTATTCCTGGCTGCAGATTTTTATTTCCAGCATTTTGAATATATCAAGCTACTACTTTCTGGCCTAAAAAGTTTCTACTGAAATATCAGCTGATAGCCTTATAGGATTTCCTTTGTATCTAACTGTTTTCTCTTGCTGCTTTTAAAATTCTTTTTATCATTACTTTTTGACTTTTTAATTACTAAGTGTCTTGGTGTGGACTTTATTGGGTTGATTTTGTTGGGGCTTCTCTGGGCCTTCTGGCACTGATTTTGTTTCCTTCCCCAGATTTGGGAAGTTTTGTGCCCCTTTTTCTCTGTCTTCTCATTTTGGGATGCCTATGAGAATGCTATTATACTTGATTGCGTAGCTGAGTTTTCTAAGTCTGTTTTCATTATTATTTTTCTCTCTGCTGTTCAGCTTGATTGCTTTCCATTACTCTGTCCTCCAGGTCAGCAATCCGTTCTTCTGCTTCCTCTAGTTTACTATTTATTCCTCCTAGTGTATTTTTAATTTCAGTTATTGAGTTCTTCATTTCTGATTGGTTCTTTTTTATATTTTCTATCTCTTCGTTAAGGACCTGAGGTCCTCCACTTTTTTCTCAAGTCCATTGAGTATGTATATGACCATTACTTCAGATTCTTTATCAGGCATGTTATCTCTATTTTGTTTAGCTCTCTTGCTGTGATTTTGTACTGTTCTTTCATTTGGGACATATTTCTCTGTCTCCTCATTTTGTCTGTTTCTCTGTGTTAGGAAAATCAGCTATGTCTCCTGCTCTTGAAAGTAGTGGTCTTGGGGCGCCTGGGTGGCTGTTGGTTAAGCATCTGACTTAGGCTCAGGTCATGATCTCATAGTTTGTGAGTTTGAGCCCCGCATCGGGCTCTGTGCTGACACCTCAGAGCCTGGAGCCTGCTTTGGATTCTATGTCTCCCTCTTTCTCTCTGCTCCTCTCCCACTCATGCTCTGTCTCTCCTTCAAAAATAAATAAACATTAGGGGCGCCTGGCTGGCTTAGTCGGTTAAGCGTCTGATTTTCGCTTAGGTCATGGTCTCACGGTTCGTGGGTTCGAGCCCCGCGTCGGGCTCTGTGCTGACTGCCAGCTCAGAGCCTGGAGTCTGTTTCGGTCTGTGACTCCCTCTCTCTCTGACCCTCCCCTGCTCACGCTGTCTCTCTCTCTCTCCTAGAAATAAATAAAAAAAAACATTTAAAAAATATATAAATAAATAAATATTAAAAAAATGTTTTAAGAAAGTAGTGGCCGTATGAAGAAGAGGTGCCCTGTAGCGTAGTGTCCCCTCTTCTCCAGAACCTGGTGCTTCAGGGGTGTGTCCTATGTGTGTTGCGTGCACCTTCTGTTGTGGCTGAGCTGTTTTTGCCTCTAGTCCAGTTGTCTGCAATGACTCTCTTTGCCTGCTGTGGGCAGTGTTTGGCCCCTGTGGTGTTAGTGGGCCACTCCTGGGCTGCCTTAGGCTGGAGTTGAGTCAGAGTAGGCATTTGCCAGCGATGCAGTAGCACTGAACTACAGAGTGCTTTCTCTGCATTGCCCTCTGAGAAGCTTTTGTTGGCGGGTGGGCCCTCCATCAGACCCGATTGTGGTGCTAGGGCCACAGACTGGTGTGTGTGGCTGTCCTCCCCCTCTCCCCAGGGTAGGAGTCACAGTCAGGGCTTCTTTACACACTGCCAGGCTTGCGGCACCCTTGTGGATGCACTCCTGCCCAGGCTTACTGGAGGGGGCAGGGCCACAGGAGAATGAGGGGGTGGGCAGTGCTGTTAGCAAGTTCGGTGGAGAGTGTCAGCACTGTGCTGGTTCCCCCAGCTGTCTGTGCCTCTAGGCCGGGGGGCAGGGGAGGGAAATGGTTCCTGTCAACTTTTTTGTTCCTAGAGAATTCTCCCAGCTCTCCCTGTCCTTCCAGCACAGGCTCTGAGATTAGTAAACAAATCTCCCTCCCATATACTCCAGGCATTTTTCAAACTGCTGCTTCTCTATGCGGTCCCTCAGTGGGGCTGTTTGTTGTGCTGTGTCTTTAAGGGTGGGGATTCAGATTTCTATCATCTTCCCAGGAGCCAAGCCCAGTGATTTAAAAAAAATTTTTTTTTTAATTTTTTACATTTATTTTTTGAGAGATAGAGTGAGACAGAGGATGAGTGGGGAGAGCCAGAGAGAGGAGATACAGAATCTGAAGCAGGCTCCAGGCTCTGAGCTAGCATTCAGTACAGAGCCCGACATGGGTCTCCAACCCACTAACAGTGAGATCATGACCTGAGCCGAAGTCGGACGCTTAACCAGCTGAGCCACCCAGGTGCCCCTAAGCCCACTGATTTTTAAAGTTCCAGGTGTTAAGCCCCGCTGATTTTAAGAACTCACAAAATTAGGCCCCTCTGGTTTTCAAAGCCAAATGTTTTGGGGATTCATCTTCCCTGTGCAGGTTCCTCATGCTGGTGTGCCTGATGTGAGGATCTGGGTCCCTCCTCTCTCTGTGCCCAGCCTCTCTCCCTCCCTAGGACAGTCCTCCAGGTCCACTTGGCTCCCATGCAAATCTCCACCCCTCCTACCCTCTTGGACGTGGACTCTTCTCTACCTTTAGCTATGGAGAGTCTGTTCTACCAGTCTTTGGGTTGTTTTCTGATTATCTAATGTGAGGTTATCTAATTATATCCATGGGACTAGGTGAGATTAGGATCTTTGTTCTCTGTCATTTTCCCTGGAAGTCCTTAGGTAAACATTTTTAATGTGAACAACTATAAAAGGGATACTAAAAAAAAATCAAAATATTTAATATTTTAATTCTAAAATCATATTTATTATTCTGTAATTAATTTGCTTTTATTTTTTCTTAATGAGAAAATTGATTTTCATAATCAATGAAAGTAATAGTGTTCTATTACTAAGGTTTTTCAGCAAAAAAAAAAAATTGAATCTGCCTATCACCTGTATAGGCCCATCTACTTGAGTAAATCATAGTGATTCCTGATGGGCACTTTGAAGTAGTGACAAAAGCGTGTATCATTACTCTCTTAAAAAGCCCTCAGGTTCATGGGTCAGGTCTCTGTCAACACCCTCCGCCCCCCACCCCCCGGTTTTTCTCACCTGCAATATTGGACCTTTACCACCAGGTGTCACCCTCTCACCAACATCGGAAAGCGGTCTCCTTTCAGAACCTCCATTCTCTGCTGAGTGGCAAGGGGGACAGGTCCAGCTTGTACGTGGTGGGAGAGCCAGGGGACCACAGTGCAGATGGCCGGTAAGAGTGGGCGAGTGGTGTAGGGGTAAACTTGGAGCATGGGCGATGGACCTATGAGCTTAACTCCTTCCTGCCTCAGGTGCCACGGGTAGAGTTGGAGGGTTTGAATCCTCTATCCCAGTGCTGTCTGACGACATCCTGAGATCAGGATGTTCAGAGAGCTTGCTTAGCTCAAAGATCAGGTTAGAGAGCCAGAGACAGGGCCCTCAAAGAGACACCTGACCCGTGACCCTGCCTAGAAAAGTCCCACCCTCTGATGAGACCTCTAGGCTAGCTGCTTTTGCATGGGCCCCATGGGGGGGGTCTTCGGGGGCCTGTTGATTCCTGGAATTTTTACATAACATTATAGCTGTGTTAGATTCTCAGAGAGGTCTCTGCACCCACAACGATTTAAAAACCGTGTGTCCAGGCAGAGGGTAGCCGGGGCACCTCTGTGACGGCCTTCCAGTCTTGATCCTAGCAGGTGGTTTTTGCTGGTTGAGGCCAGTGAAGAGACATCTGTCATCTTTAAGGTGAGGAATGGTGGGACCCCAGTGCCCAGCCCTCCTTGCACTCACTCTCTGGTCCCCTGGCAGGCCAGCCAAGGTCCCGCCCCAGCGTGCCCTCAGCGTGGAGGACGTGAGCGCCCCCAGCCAGGCGCGCACGGTGGGCCGTGTGGTGGAGGTGTTCCCAGATGGCACCACCCAGCTGCAGCTACGACGCTCCCCGGAGGGCACCTTTGGCTTCTGTGTGGCCTCAGGGAATGGGCGCCGGGACTCAGGTAAGCACCCCTCCCCTTTCTGGGCTCCACATCCCTGGGGCCTTAGCTGACCACAGCAATGCCTTTTGGCTGTGATCATTTCCAGTCTGTGGCAGAGAAGTGGAGCTCTGGACGCAGACAATCTCTTAGCAAAAGGACTGGAATTCTCCCTTCAGGCGCTTTTCTGGAAGGGCCTGGTGTGGGGCTGCTGGAGGGGTCAGAGATAGCAGGCCTGGTTCCAGTGCCCCTCTGCTGTCTGCTGACATCTTGAAATCAGAATCTTGAAGGCTGTCTTTTTGTTGTAGCGCCCAAGGGAGATTGTGCTTGCTGGTTCTCGGCGATTCCTTTGATGTGGCTTGCGTGTTTAATGGTTCCCTTCCTCCAGCTGCCGAGGATGTCTGGGCATGTGGAATGTGCCTGCCTGCCTGTGAGTCCAGGTCCATGCCTCAGCGCCGGCTCCAGAGGGCGACGTTCACAGGGATCCTGCCCTAGCCACACTCTGCTGGGGAGGGTTCAGTCCTGTGCTTTGATCTCCTAAGTCAAAGTCATTTAACCTGGGAAAAATCCGCTCACTGCCAGATTCGCAGACCGCAGCAAGTTCTTACATCTGTTCCATCATTCATTGTTTCAACACGTGTATCCTGAACACCTATTAGGTGTGTTTTAGATGCTGGGTATCTGGCAGTAAACAGAACAGACAAAACCCTGATCCTCAGGAGTCCACATTCCAGTGAGGGAGACAGACTATGTCAACAAAAAGGTTTACATTTGTATACATTTTGCGTTATATGTGCCACAGAGCACCAATCCAAACAAAGCAGGGTAGGGGCCGGAGAGTGGGGGCGTGCGAATGCCAGTGGGGCACAGGGGGGCAGCTTTTCTGGGCAGAGGACACAAGAGCACACACAGGAGTGAGGGAGCAGCCATATGGTGTCTGGAGAAAGAGTGGTCCGGGCGGAGGGAAGGGGCTCACAGGGGCCCGGAGGGCAGAAATGAGCTTGGCTGTTGGAAGAATTCCAAGGAGGTGGATCGGGACAGAGAGGCAAGAGGAAGTGCTGAGCTCAGAAGGGCTTTGCCTTTCCCGCCGGGTGAGCTGGGAGCCACCAGGGGCTTGGAGCAGGGACTGATGTGCCCTGATTTGTGTAACAGTGTCGCTGACCAGCTGCTGGACTGTGAATGGACACTAGTGGGTTGAAGATAGACCAGCAAGACCGGTTTTAAAGTTATTTCAGTGGAAAGACTTGACAGCAGTGACTTGGGCTGGGGGCGCGGGGGAGGGTCAGAGATGGTGAGAAGTGGTTGCATTCTGCTTGACCTAAAGGCAGTTTGACTCTGTTTGCTGATGGATTTTATATGAGCGTGAGAGGAAGAAGATGAATTTCTCCCCACTCTGGACCTCAGGAGGGGACAATGTCTGTCCTCACAGGGAGATGGCATTTGTGGACCTAAACTGATCATCATAAAGCCATCAGCAGGCTGTTAGCTACTCTACCTTTTCCCTCAGCTTCCTCTCTCCTCAGGTGAGAGGCAGTCGGGCTCCCAGTAGAGTTAGACGACATGGCATGGTTTGTACTCCATCCAGAGCCTCTGCTGGCTGTGTGACCTGAGCAGGTTACTTAACGTCTCTGAGCCTCAGTTCTCTAACCTATAAAATGAAGATAATAAAACCTACCTGGAAGAGTCATAAGGAGCATCCGGTGAGGTGCAGAGGAAAGGGCCAGTCTCTTTTCTCCCTTTCCCTCTTCAGAAAGAGAATTTGTATTTGGGGAGCAGAACTCCAGCAGGGACCACCATGATCCCCACCGCCTGTCTGTGTGACGTCACACACAAGCGGGCATCGTGCTGTGCACCTCATCCTCCCCAAAAGTCCCATTAGGCCCCTTTGCAGACAGTGGGAGCCCCTCCCCCATCACCTGTCAGGGAGTCATGTCCGGATGGGCAGGGGTCTCTAACGACCTAGGGCTCCCGGGGCTCCGGGCTGGCCGGCCCCCCAGGGCACCCCTCCCCTGGGTTGGTTGGAGCTCGCCCCCGTCCCGCCCAGGTGGTGCCCTGCTCCTGCTGCCGCGGTTGGCCATCGGACATCACACAGAGATCCGCAGGCACACGCAGCCTGACTGGTGCCGGTGCCTCCCTGCCGCAGACCGGCCTCCTGCAGCCGCGGCTCAGGCTCACTTCTGCGGGGCCTCGGGGGGGGTGGGGGGTGGGGGTGGGGCGCGGGCTGGGGCCGGCCGCATCCCTCGCTAAAACGTCAGGGCGCTGGTGTCCACATGCTGGCTACCACATCCCGCTCTACACAGGCGTTTGAGAACAGCAGGCTTCGCCTTCTGCTTCTGAGTACCATAGAGACCCTCCCTGCTCAACAAAGGCCATTTCCAGCAGACAATGAATACCTGCAACAGCGGTCTCTCCGTCACAGTTTTGTCATGACCTTCCACTGTGAAGCCTACCCCAGAGACTCCCCCGGACGGCTGGCATAACATCAGTGTCCGGTCCAGCTCTGGCTACCACCTGCCTTTGGGGTTTCTCATCACTCGGCGCCTGCCTGTCTGCTGCAGGGCAGCCGTAGGCAGCGCCCCCCTTCCCGCCCTCTCCCCACGCCACCAGCGCACTGCCTGGGCAGGAGAGCCGTTAGAGCCCCCAGGCGGAAGAGGTGGGAGATGGGGCTGTGGAGATGGGGTGGGCACGGAGGCCGCCCGGTGGCACAGGCACCGCTTGGCCAAGAAGCGCCTAGAGCGAGTTCCACAACTCAGCCCCGGGAGAGCGAATGTGTCAGAAGACTGGATTAGCTAAACTCAGGGTTACCAGCCCTCAGGTGCTTTAACGGAGGTGGTGGTGCTTCTAGACCCCGGTTCAGAGGCAGCTCTGCCAGGGCAGAAGCTGGGCTGAGCAAAGCTCCTGCGAGGCTGTGGGGGAGGAGGGAGTACCTCCCCCTGGCCCCAGGGTGGATGAGGTGCCCTATCCAGCCCTTTCTAGAAAGGAAGCTGACTCCAGGGAGAGGAGGTAGAGAGTAGGGCACAGGCCGGGCCAGCCTGGGCTGGGGCGCCGTGAGGGGGTCGCCGGAGTGGGGGGGGGGGCTATGCTGCCCCGCTGCTGAGTTCTGCAGGTGCTGCTCACAGTCTGCACCCCAGGCTGGTGCTCTCGGATGCCTGCGTGCACTCAGCCCATGGCGGGGGGTGGCCAGCTTTCCCTAAAAGACCCTTTAAGTTGAAGGGGAGTTGGGAAGGGTTTAGCAGAAGGCGAGGCGAGGAGGGTCCCTCAGCAGGACTCCTCTGCGTAGCCAGGAGCGGCCAGGGGAGCTCGGCCTTGCCAGCCCCAGGCTCCACAGGGCCTGCTCCACCCACGCGGTTGCCCAAGTTGGAGCCAGGGAACCGGGGAGAAGCATGCTCTCCCCAGCTCACTCTGCACCTAAGAGACCCGGGAGATGTGCTCATACCAGCCAGGCAGGGCCTTCTTAGGGGCAGTGTGGGGGACAGGATGTGTGTGAATAAGGGACACGTGAGCCACCACATCCGAGGAAGACTGAGGCCAGGGCTAGTCCTAGACAATAATATGAAGCAAACCAGATTTGGATTTGACCTCAGCCATGTTCATTACTCCAGGGGGCCTTCCCACCACTCCAGCTGCTTGAAGACAGCAACTGGATCTTCTTTATGAATCCTATACCTAGCAATAGGTCTTTTTCTTAATTTTTAAACATCAGCTTTCTCCTTATTCTACAATCAAAGCTCATCCCAGAAAAAGACAAGGTTAGCTCATTCACACTGGGGTATACACGAATAATAACAGCTTTAAAGCACTATTTGCCCCAAAGGCATTTCAAAACAGGAGACAGAAATGAAACTATACCATGAGGACGGGCGCACTGTATCTATGTAGAAAGCCTTGTGGTTATGAGGTAGAATAATGAGGGTGTGCGTATGTGCGAGCATGCAGAAGTGCCCTGTGCGAGCACCTGCTTCCTCACCCCCACCCTAAACAGCACCCACTGGTCAGCATTCCACAGAGCTGTGTGTCCTCGGATTTCATCTGTTACATTGGTCCGTCTTCCTTTGCAGGGCTCTACGTGCAGGAGATGGCTGATGCGAGCATGGCCAAGCTGTACTCAGGGCTGCTGGGGGTAGGCGATGAGATCCTCGAGGTGAACGGGGCCAAAGTTGCGGGGCTGAGCGTGGCTCATATCAAGGAGCTCCTGGCCCGCGAGGACAGTTTGTCAGTCCGTGTGCTGAGGCAGAGGCCCGTCCCGCGGTGACGCAGGCGTGCTCCCGCCCCGCCCCTCCCACAGAAGCCCTGAGCTGGCCCAGAAGGAATGGAAATGCGCTGCACAAAGCTGCTTTGTGGAAGACAGAGGACAGTGGCATGTAACCCCTGTGGCAGGGCGGCCGTGATTGACACCGTACGTGAGGGCAGGAGCCTGCTTGTGGGTTTTAAGAATGTTCATTTTTGCGGAACTGGGGAAAGAAGACCTGGATCCCCTTCCATACCAGAAGCGGGTCAGTCTCTTTCCTTACCTTTGTTGGCAGGAGGAGAGAGCTGCGGAGGGCCCTGGGGTTGGCCCCTGACCATCTCCTCACCCCCAAGTGCTGTCCCACTCTCTGTCAAGGGCTCTCCCAGCCTCCCCACACTCCAGAACCAAAGAAAGTGCTTGGCCATATTGGCCTTGAGACTGCCTTTAAAGTCTCGTTCCTTCCACGTCCCATTGGACACCTTTGCTCTTTTTCTGGAAATGGCCAAAGTGTCCTGGAGTGACAGCCTTACAGCCATCGGTCATATATTCCAAACCAAAACTTGGAACATGTGGTCCGGCATGAGAACATCTGGGAGATGTTATCTGGTAGCCAGAATATTAAGAGTCTCTGGGAAATTCTTCAGATCTATAAAGTTGAAGGGGAAAAAAAATGAAACAGAGACCAATTTCCAGGAAGAGCAGCCAGCCCCTCCCCCGCCAGCCTGCCCTCTGCTCTGCACGGGGGCAACACCGGAGCTGGCGGTGAGGGCCTGTCTTCCTTCTCCTGTGGAGTGTGGGCATGGCTGTGGCTGGTGCCAGGCTGTCCCCAGCTGCAAGCTCTCTGCCCAGGTGGCAGCTGTGGGTGGGTCAGCAGCAAATGCAATGCCAGGGTACAGGCAGGGGGATGGGCTGTCCCACCAGGTTGCTTCCCTGCTCTAGGCCCAAAGGGTTGGGACTCTCTGGGAGGGGATGGCCGTGTGTCACTCTTAAATTATTAAAAAGCAAAGCTGAAGCTTCTCTCGCTCCGAGTTGCTAAATTCTGGGCTGGATGTTCACTTGACCTTGAGTGACCAAGAACAGGGGCCTGGAGTGGAGGAGGAAGAGGGAGGGAAGACACAGGCACAGAAGTGAGCTGTGTTGAGCGTGCCAGAAGGGAAGGCTGGGGCAGTTCCCCCGGGATCGGGGTGACAGTCAGGGTAGATCCAGAGTCAGTCCTCTGGCTGAGAGAGGAGCCTGGGGCGAGGTGCGTTTATGAACAGGAGATAGGATGGAGCTGAGGGCCTCAGATGGGTGATGCTGGGGTGGCGGGTGCAGTGAGCAGCTCAGGGCTGTTTTAGAACTTGATAAAACACACAGCCTTCATTAAAATGAGTCATAGCAGCTTTCACCGGGCAGGGTCACTGATGGGTACATGTGGCCTGAGGGAAAGGTGATGGGGGAAGGAGGCAGGCAGTTCTGTGGAATGTGTAGTGAATGTTCTCTTGGTCCAGGCCTTACCTGCAGGAGCCAGTGAAAACCCCCTTTCCTGCCCCCTGGAGGCTGGGGTGAGGGGTGCTCCTGGGGCCCCAGAGCTGCAGGCTGGGGAGCCCGGCCACCTGGGATGGGGGAGGAGGAGGGAGGGGAGGCTCCAGCAGGTGAGCAGAGGGGCCGGTGGAACAAGTGTTTAGGCCTTCAGGGCGTGAAGAGGGTGCTGGAACATCTCAGAGACCAACCTGCGGCCCCTAAAGCTTGGAAGTGGCCCCATGGCAGGATACTACAGTCATGGGGAAGCACTGGCGGCTCCTGTAGCCCCCAGTTCCTGGCCTTGAGCTCATGAAACTTCGGGGAAATTTCATATTGAAAGAACTTACAGGGGCAAAGGCACCTCTGTTTTCTCTGCACGGTGAGGGCGACATGGCTTTCTAGCTCCAGCCAGGAAGAAGGAAGCAGGGGGCTCCCGCCAGGACAGAACTGGAAAGGTCTCTAAGGAATACAGGGCATCTGCTCTTGTTACCTCCCTGGGGCAGGGCCAGGCTCTTGGCCATCTTATTTGGTCCTTAACAACCGACCCGCCAGGTGTGCCCTGTGTATCGTCTCCCGTTACACAGATGGAGAGCTGAGCTGGGCAACAACAGGCTTTCAGACCTGGCCTCTGACTCAAGGCCACACTTGCTGCTGCTACATCCCCCAAGGACCCCCGGAAGAGCCTTGACGGAGTTGGGTAGACACTCTGGACTGTCCGTGAACTAGAGCTGCACTTTTCCTGAGTAACCTGATGCCAGGGGCCCTGGCTGTGTAGGTGGGCGGGGACTTTGGTTCCTCCAGACACCTGCTGCACGTCCCCACCTGCTCTGTCTGGGGAGCTGCTAACCAGGTCAGTCCTGTGTCACCCACAGGACCGTTGGAACCCTCCTACTTAGAACCTAGTGAAGTAACCAGGAGCCAGGCCCTTTGACAGGCAGGGAGCCCAGAGAGATGAGAAAGACCGGCTGGAGCTGCCGCGGTCTAGGGGAGACACAAACATGACCACATGCCCTGGTGTGTGTGGCAGGAGAGGCTGGCACGTGGCCTCTAGGGTAGAGAGCCTGAGTGCTCAGCGGGGGGGAGGGAGCTTACAGACAAGGGGCACTCACGCAGGGTTTTGTAACATGGGCAGGAACTTACAGGAAGGATGAAGAAAAGGATGTTCAGGCACAGAAAATAACAGCATGTGCAAAGGTGTGGCTTTTTCCTGTACCTGACCTATGACCCCCCACCCCCACCCCGCCGCCCCGGTATTCTGTGTCCAGAGCTCTTTCCACAGAAGCCATCAGATTTGGGGACTACACCGAACAGAAAGTGGCTCCAACTTGGGCCTCGGACATGTCAATATCCTTAGGGTGACAGGCGGGGGTGGGGAGCAAGATCAGAAGTCGCTAGCGGAAGCGGGGGGGGGGCGACGTGGGGGGTGGTCTGGGAGGGAAGGGCGGTCCCAGACAGACCCGCTCCCACCGTTGCCTGCTAGAACTTTTTTTTTTTTCAGGACGCCTCTTCTGGGTGGCGGAGGGGCAGGCGGGAGGTGAGAGCTCATCTCCAGGGGGGGCGCGGACGGCGTCGGGTTCCCTGGGGGGGGGGGGCAGGGACCGAAATCTGTCCAGTGTCAGCGACCAGGGGGCCACTGTTCGCAGGCAGCCACCCCGCGCCCTCCCCGCCGGGCTACTCTGCTCCGCCGCGCGTGTCGCCTGCAAGTCTGGACGGCCGGGCGGGGCGACCCCGCGGGTCCGAGCAGGTCGCACAGGCGGCTGGCTCCCCGCGGGTGCGCCCTCCCTGCCCCTCGGCCGCCGCCGCCCGGGCGGTGCCCTCCGCGTGGGCCTCCTGGCCTTTGTCGCGCGCCGCCCGCCCCCGCCCCCCCCCCCCCCCGCTGTCGTCCCCGCACTGTCCTTCCTGGCCTCCGCGGGGCCGGGGCAGGAGACGGGGCTCCGGGCGTACCGCCCCCTCCTTGCAAGGGTCAACTCAGCCTGGCGCGGGCTCTGTTAGAGACGCCGGGCGGCTGGAGCCGGCAGGGTGCCAGAGACTGGGGACGGGGTGAGGAGGTGTTACACGTTCCCAGCTCCCAACAGACACGCGACGCAGGAGCCCTCGCTGGGCGCCGGAGGCCGGGACGAGGCTGGCCCTCACTTTGCCCCGGGGGGGGGGCGGGGGGTACCCACGGCTGGGGGCCGGGGAGCGGTGACCGCGCCTGGCCGGAGCCAGAGGGAGGGATGGGACGGGAAGCCACTCAGGACTGACCCTCGTGGCGGGCGCGCAGAGTGGGGACCCGCTGCGCGCAGTGTCCCGAGTCTCACGCGGGATGGAGGAATACAGGCACAGCCCGACTTTCGGAAATCAAGGTTAATCAAGGGCGTGCAGTCCCTGTGCGATCTCCCGGCCTGCTCTGCCTGCTCCTCAAATACTCCCGGAGCTCTGCTGGGGACATTAAGGATTCAATACTGAACCCCTCAGGCAGCTCTGTGAGGGACGGACTACTTCTCTCTGGTTACAAACTAGGAGCCGAAGACTCAGGCTAAATTACTTACCCAAGGTCACAGTGCAACTATTACTAGAGGAGGCTGGATTTGAACCCGGCCCTCTGTAACTCCCAGCCTGGGTGTGTCCTCCCTCTTGGGACCCTGTGGGGCTCACCTCATCCAGGGGCCCTCGAGCACCGCAGCCCCCGGCTCCCCCGGCGGCGTGAGGGGTTTGTTTCAGTTTTTCTGCAGGGAAATACCTCCCAGCGGGGGGTCGGGAGGAAGTGGGGACAGATCATTTTCCAGGACAGTGTTTCTGAGTTGCAAGCCTAACCCACTCGTGGGTTGTGTCTTGCGGGTCGACACCAACATTTTTTTAAAAATCAGTGCTTTCGCACAAGGCATGTGTAGATTTTGAGAACCAATTTTTTCAGGTGTGTGTGTGTGTGTGTGTTCCAAGTTCTAATTTAAATGGTCGTTCTGACTCTGCTCTGAACCTAAAAACACGCCCTCAGGACTAAGGCCTGGGGAGTGGGGGGGGGGGGAGGGGGATGCCTCTGCCCTCTGTTACCCTGAGACCTCTTCCAGCCCTGCATTGCCTGAAGGCGGCTGCCCAAACCTTCCTGGACTGGTGGCTCGTCTGAATGTGCCTGGACCCTAGGGGAAGAGGCATCTTTGATCCTACAGCCTTGTCACCGAAAAGCCCATGTCCCAGGGCCAGGGTTCAGGGAGGTGCCTGGACTTCCTGGTCCTCCAAACCGGCCTCCACTCGGTGGGATCCCCTCGTGGGTATTTATGGGCAGGAGCTTGCTTGGTCCCCTGATCTGGCCGCGCCCCAGATGCCCGCGGTCACTCATCCATTTCCTGCTGCTTCCTCGAATGCCCTTGCTGGACCACCCTTGCCCTCGTCCACCCTCGGACTCCTTGGAAGCCTTCAAAAATACTAGAGGTGCCTGTCCAGGGAAGCACCCCAGGAAGACCCGCATGCTGATTTTGTTCCCCTTCCCTTCGCTCCCATATAACCGGGTACCAGGGCTCTTATTGTGGCTCTCTCTATTCAAACAATTTCCTGCTTATCCTCCAGCAGACTTAGCTGGCAACACCTGGGTTTCCCTGGTCCGTCTGCTCAGCCTATTTCCCACCCTAAAAACCCAGGTTGGCCGTGGAGCCGTTCACAAGGCCCTGCTGTCACCGGATCCCCTCCCTGCCCTCCCTCCCTCTCCCTCCCTCCCCACCATCCTCTCTGAAGTCTCCCTCCTTCCTACAGAGCCAGAGCACCTGCTTAGAAATGGCAGCAGCCTTCCTTGGCAAGAAGCTCTGCCCAGCTCTCCCGGGCTGTGGGCTTGGCCAGGTCTGAACGCTGGGCCCTGAGAAAGGGGCTGCTGGCATTGGCTCTGACTCTCTGCCCACGGAGCCAGGCTTTAACAGCTGCCCTGCCAGGCCTGGAGGGCATCCGGGGCTCTCCTGTGGGTGCCTGGCTGCCCGCTGGGCCTGCCTTTGTCTCGTCCTTCTGCAATCTGGGCTCAGGCCCGTTTGCAGTGTGGGGCTGTCCTCGGGGGCCTGGCCAGGTGCCAGGTACTGGGGAGAGGCCCGCCCTGCCCTTGGGATGCCTGTGTCCCCAGGGTGGAGACAGCTACAGCTGTGAAGAGAGACAGACCAGTGTGCCAAGGGGTACAACGGAAGCCCAGGCCAGAGGCCCCACTCCACCTGCTGAGCAGACTTCCCAGAAGGGCCAGCCGTGGGCTCAGCAGCCTCCATCCGAGCTCTGGTGCTCTCTCGGGGGCACGGAACGCTGGCTGGGGTGGGTGCTCACAGCATCAGATGCCACAGCCCTGATTCTCACCCTGGGTTCCGCAGACTGTCTCCAGACTTTTCCGAGCTCATATCAGGAGTTTTGGCTCACTTACCTTTTTGCCCTTTTCCAGCCAAATGAAAGCTCCAAAACATTTTACCAGCAAGGCCAGCGTGCCTGAGGTCCTTGACTAGCAGATTTCTTAACTCTCCAGTGGACATATGGGATGTGAAACGTGGTCAAGTCCAAGGCACGTGGTGTCCATGCTTTATCTTCACTTCTTAGAGCAGTGCTTTAGCCTGCCTCGAACTCCTGCTACAGCGCTTTGCTTCCTCATCCTCTCCCCAGCCTTACTGTTGCTCTGGTTAGGAAGCTTCGCAAAAGGCTTCTGCCATTCAGTCTGAGTGGCGCCTTTTTCCCTTTGCAGGGAGGCTGGCCTCATACTGGTCCAGTCAGAGCTGGGCCCTCCTCCTGACTCTACCACCTCCTCATTTACCCTTGGGCAAATGTCTTCAATGCTCCACGCCGGTCTGTGGGTATAAAGTGGGCCTCACCAGGATTTCCCTCATGGGGTTGTAAGAATGAAGTCCGAAATTTCACTCCCCATCTTGTCCCCGATACCCGTGGTCAAAGACCTGCCAGCACAGCAGGTTCTTATCAAATGTTGGCCAGAAGTTTTAGCTGCTAATCAGGTATAAAATTTGAGAAATCTGTCCCTGTAACGGTTGACGACCCCTTCCCAAAGGCTGGCCAATCTTAATGTGAACTTCTGTGAACGCAGCTAGAACGCATCCAACGGTGTGGTGAGGAAGGGGCTACCATTGCAGAGGTCAGAAAGGTTGGAGGTTTGGCCATCCACGCTGGGCTCTGGAACACCTCACCCACCGAGAGGTGTACTGGGGACAGGCTCTGCCCACAGCTGCACCGAATGGAGCCGCCACCAATGTTCCAGTTATCAGTGCCGTCTTGGTAGAAGGGTCCCTGTTTCCAGACAAGTGACACCTCCAAGGTGCCAAGGATCAAGGTTTACGTGTCCTCGTGGACGGTGCGGCAGTGCGGCGGTATGGACAGGACTTCCCTTCCTGGGAGTTTCATTTGGCACCAGGGCTCCGCTTGTACTTTCGGCGTGAGTTTTATGTAAGACTTGTGGCCAGTGGGGACCTTCTGAGAGACAGCAAATCACTCTTTTGCTGCACAGCAGAGCCACGAGTGGAGTCAACGTGCTGGTGGCTCCAGAGCCCTCAGCCTCGTACACGGCCGTTTTTTTCTCCTTGTCTACACCACAGTCCACAGATCCCCCGGCCCGGGAGAGGGGCAGCTTTGCTCTCACCAGGGGGTACACATAGCCCTTCCATCTCAAACATTAACTATAACTCTCAAGATAAGCCATGGGTTCCTCTAGCAAGGCTGGTTAGTATGTTGATTTGCGTTAACGCTCCTGAGCTATTACCTTTGGGGGAAGTCAAGCTGGGGACCCATGAGCACAGATGTCCCAATTTCTGTGGTAGCACGGCAAGTGGCTCTGCCTCTCCTCAGCTGTGTGACCTTGAGGAACTACCTGTGTCCCCATTCCCTCAACTGCACATTCGAGATAATATTAGATGAGGAAGCTTCATAGTTTCAAAACGCCATTTTAAGTACCATCTGCATTAATACAGATGAAGCACCTAGAAGGCTGCTGGGCGCATAGCAGGTGTTCAGATCATGAGGGAGGAGGATGATGACAGATGGGATGATGAGGGTCCCTGGCCTTAGGAGCTTACGAAGCCTTGTCACCTTGCCCCACACACAGAAGTGAGGGCAGGCTCTTTCATCGGCCACCGGGGAGGGCCAGTGATCTTGTTGGCCAAAGCTCGGGTGAGGGGGGAATAAGAGACTCAGTTCTTTCTGTGTTGTTTCTCTGCTCCCCACGCTCCCTGCCCCAACTGAAACTGTGCTGTATGGTATTCTAAATACGTAATGTGGTTATCTGGGGGTTTAACAATTCATGTAACTTGCCCAGCCCAAGAGAGCACAATTTATAATTCAGATCCTCCAACAGCCACCCGGTTTCCACGCCCCAGGCACACGCACATGTCCATGTTCACTGGTGGGGGCAGAAGGAAGGAGCTGTGCGTAGGTATGGAAAGAGATCAGAAAAAAAACAAAACGTAAACCAACAACAACCCAAGGCAAAAGGTCATGGTCTCTCCATTTCTCTTTTAATACTGAACAGTATTTTTTGTACAGCTGTAACATGATTTCAAGAGCAGAAATAAGAAACATTACTGATAGACTTCAGGGTGTAAAAATACCACTTTGAAAGACGGCTAGTTGAGATTTTTCTTACGCAAGTATTTTTAAAAAGTTTTCAAGTTTATAGTGTCATCAGTTTGTTTAACGTCAGGATTACAATCAAAGCTATGGAAGAGGTTTTATTATGCAGGGATGGTTTACTGTAGCGTAAATTCCACGATGCGGGAGCAGTGATTCAGAAACTACAGTGGGCGGCAGAATCCCCGGGGGGGGGGGGGGGGGGGGGCGGGGTGCTTGTGAAATACAGCCTGCCGGCCTCACCCACCAGAGTCCGTGATTCGGCAGGGCCCAAGGCCGGGCAGGCCTGAGGACCTGCATTTCTAGCAAGCCCCGGGGCAATGCCGCCGCCGCCGCCCCACACCACGCCTGGAGACCCAGCCTGTGGAAAGAGCAAGAATGTATCTACTTGGGGAGAGGGGTGTAAACTGGCACCAGGGCTACTGGGTTCTTCTCCTGGGGCGGGGGGCGGGGGGGGAGACTGCGCACCATTTGGAAATCACCCAGGCATTTGCAGTTCGAATCCTAGATCTCACGTCTTTAGTTTATGCCTTCTAATCATTTAAAAATAAAACACTGTAGGCTATTTATCCTTGGAAGAAAAACATAACAATTTCGTCCTGCTGAGTACTGACTGCCACGTATTACACATTTGATTTTTTCATTACACTAAGTTCTGATTACAAATGAGCCAGTGAGAGCATATTTCCACTTAGAGAAAACCAATCCACAATTATTTATCCCTTGCAGTCTTTGGCCCTTTCCCGGTTTCCAGGCCACCCTCACCAGGGCACTCTCCTGGGTCAAGTCAGGACGCACCCACATCAAGCTTACAAGTGAGTCCCAGTAACTTCTTAGCGGGAACACCAGGCCAGCCTCGCCCCACCCTGCACAGTCCCTCTCTTTTCCTGAGGACAAGGTTGTCCGCCTCTCCCGGAGTGGACTTTACCCCCGGGGCTGCACTTCCTGTTCAGTAGCATGGTCAGCTAAAGCCCGCTTTCTGCAGAGTCCAGCAAGAAAAACCCTGGACACGGGGTCCCCCCCCCGGGGCTGACAGAGAGCTTGGCTTGTGTGGGAAACTGGGCTACCGCCAGGGCCACAGAACAAGACCGTGAGAGCTTTGGTCAGCGGAGAGTGGAGCTGGGTGGTTTTATTTCTAACGCCCCCTGGATAATCAAGTGGCTTCTGGGTTCAAGAACTCATGGCCTCAAAAAAAAAAAAAAAAAAAAGATAAAATACACGTTCTCACTGGCTGCACCTGGCAAACCAGGCCCAGGCCAAGCAGTCGGGCAGGTGACTGGGACAATGGGACAATGACTGCGGAAGTACAGTTCCGGTCTACACAGCCGTGGGGGAAGGGCATTTCTGGACAAAGGTCACATCGGAAGGAAAACAGCACCAACACATTAGCCTACGTCAGAGGGAAACCAAGTTCCTTCTCTGTCCTGCCCACCTCCCGGCCCTGTGTTGGTAAAGAGCCTCTCCCACAATAAGGAGCCGTCACCTGCAGACAGATGGCAGCAACACAGCCAAGGCGCCGCTGGAACTTTCGGAGCTTCAAACACCCAAGAGCTGAAGTGAGGGGTGAGCACGACAGGTCACTACCGGCCTACCTTGCTGCATCGCCGAGGTCACTGGCCGCAGGCAGTGTAGACGCTCCCTGGGGCCCAGCCCAGAACACAACCCAGCAAACGATGCCCCCGTGTCTGCAGGGGGAGCTGCAGCGAGTGGTCTCATCTCTAAAACAAAAGGGCTGAGCTGGGTGGTCCACACGCTTCTGAGTGTAGGTCAGGGATGGGACCCCAGAAGCCAGCGAGTCTGGAGTTTCAGCCGCACCGAGTGACCAGTGCTGAGCCGTGAGGGCTTTTGTCTCAGGGGGTCACTGCAGGGCTGTCCTCGCCTGGACAGCTGTTCCCTTCTACTCAGAATTCTCTTGATTCGCTGGACTCCACAGCAGATGGCAGCTTCCCAGGGATAAGCACGAGTCTGGCGTCCGTGCTCACGTATGACGGACTGAGGCGCAAGCGCATTCGTGAGGGCTGGGAGCCGGGGGAGGTAGGGGACACAAGAGAGAGCGGATCTCCCCTCATCGGTCCAGCCTGGGGACGGGAGTGCCCCTCACTCAGATCAGGGGTCCCGGGAGGAGCACGCCGCTGAGCCCCCGCCAGCAGCTCAGGTCTGTTTGCGACCTTCATCAACTGACTTTGGTCAGGCGTGGCTCAGCGTGATGGAGGGGCAGAAGGTCCAAGCACTCTCTGGTTTCACCTCTCTCTGCTCTTGATGGAGAAAGAACATGCTTTTCAAAAATGTTACTCTTAGAAAACCTGGGACGGAGAGAAATGCCAGCGAGAGGAACACAAAGAGGGAGGTAGTGCCTGCCGCGTTTTGGAACTTCCGCTTTTCAGACTGTCCCAATTTTGTTTTGCTTCCAAGTTCATCCTGCAGTACAAGGTGAAACAAGCGATCCGAGTCCACAGAGCTGAAAAGCAGCTCCTTTGTATAATTCAGTTCCTAGATCTTCAAATGCCATGAATTCTCTAGAAAGGTAATGGTCTCACTTTATAGCCAGGGAAATTACAAGAAAGATCTTGGCTCTGCCACCTTCGCTTACAGAAGGTAAAACACTTAACAGAGACAGATTTCTGTTGGAGTTAGACTAGATTTCTCTTCACAGCCCTGAATCTCACGAGGTGAGAAGGAGTAGAAGTTGCCAAGTGGTTGGCTACCAGACCCATCAGTCTGTTTAACTCTGGCTAAAAGCAGAGAATAATGGGCAAGCTCCCAAGTTTCTCCCCCTTCAGCTCTGGCGTGAAGATCGTCATGTAACACACACGCAGCAACTTCCAACTGCCACCCAGCAGCGGGCGTGCAGAGAGTGTAAGGGGTTTTTGGTCCACACAAAGGCAAGATCAAAGACGAGGACGAAAGACTAAAGGTATTTCGGTTTTCCAGCTGGATCCCCAACTCTGGCCAACTCTATTGACAGTTCATTCCCCCAACCAACCCCCCAAATCAGCTGATTAGAAAAGCGTTCTCGCAATAAACACAAGTTAAGCTCTTTCTCTTTATCCATCACAATCCGCCAGTTCCTTACAAACGAGGAGTATGTGTCAAGGTGCAGAGGCTGGAGACAGCCCAACCGCTTCCAGGATGTGCCCCTGAGCAGTGGGGGGGGTGTGGGGGGGTGTCGCCAGTGTCCACTGCTCTCCCCCTCCTATGGGCCGGGGGCTGCTTAGGTACCCTCTGGAGCCCGTCAGTGGATAAACGAGGAGGCAACACTGGTCCTCAAAAATCAACCTAAGCCCCTGGCTGGCTCCCTTGAACCACCACGGTTTGTGGTCTGAGTGGAGGCTTTCAAATGCACACTCATCTGTAGTGATGCCCAGCTCGGGCACAACAGGGTCAGACCCAGGACCACGCCCGCTGGGCCAGGAGTCATGCCTGGAGCAGAGCCGGCTCTGAAGAAGATATTAAGAGGCTGCCTGTCAAAGAGCTGTTCCTCTGACGGAGGAGACAGGGGCGGCCTGCAGGCAGAATGCATGCAGTGCTTGGATTTTAAAGGAAACTTTTCTCCTCCTAAATAATTTCCTCCTCAGCTTCAGGAGTCTCATCTACAATTGCCACTGTTCGGCAAATACTTGAAATTAAGTGAGGTCATCATGCCGATTCTAAACGCATCCAAACACTCAGTAATTAAGACTCCGGATCACAAAACTTGCCGCCCCTTGCCCCCAGCCACCCCCCCCCCCCCGCCCCCGGACATCAGGGAAGCATCTTACTCATTCACGACCAGGCATATTCCCAACAAGCCCACTGACACACGCGACAGTTGTGCAGGACCCAGTAAATGTGGTAACAGGAGGACAAGGGTGTGGCTTGTAAAGAGCATAGTCATACAGGTCATTAAGATGCCCGCTGCCTCTGGGACGTGGAGCGTGGATCACAGTACTGGGACGAGGTCCCCATTTATGGGTAACAAAGACCTGCGTATTTTAATGCAACTCTAAGGACCATCCCTGTTCTAAGTTTAGAGAAGACTATTGGAATGAGTCTCAAAACTCTGTAAAACGAATAATCTAGTACCCTATATCTGAAGCCCTTTGTAGTAATCTTTTTTTTTTTGCTAATTTCAAAAAAATAACTTATTTCTATATCAGATAGAGTTGAGTGTAAACGTGGATGTCAACCACCCTTTTAGTTTTATAAATCTGCTTTTAGCTTTCATCAACAGGCAGATTTCCTTACCTACCACAATCCTAACCATGAGAAAATACCCTTCTTTAAAAAACTGTTACAAATATTTATTAAAAAGTGCAAGTCAAAAGTCAGCTGGGCAGGTACATCATTGCAAATCACAAAAAAGGGGGGGAGGGGGAGGGAAGCCCAAAGCAAATGAATAAGAAATACAAACAAAACAAGAAAAAGATTAAAAGGAAAAAAAAAACCAACCCAGCATGCTGAGGAGTGGACCCCAAGAGATGAGGAAACACGAAGTCCAAGCTAGAGCTCTATCCGGATGTTGGCTGTGCTTTCCGAGTGCAGGAAAATGACGGCGAGGACAGCCACGGCCTCCCCGCCCAGGCTCTGGGTCAGCTGCTGCTTCTGCAGCGGTGACAGCATCAGGGAGACTATTACAACACCCTGTAGACACGTTGTGTGCGTTGGAGGCATTTAAAAAGTCATCAGAAGCCCGAAATTTAGCATCTCAGCAGTTTCAGCTACTAAAACTCAATTAAAGCATCCATTATTTAAATTTGGATTGGCTCAGTTATTTGAATGGATGATAAAAAAAAAAAAAAAAAAACGAGTTGTCATCTTGGGGAGAAAAGCCCTCAAGTTCACCTACCCATTCTTGCCATCACTCACAGGTAAGAGAAGTCTGGGTCAGAAATAGCTTTTTTTGTCTTTACGGTTTCTGAGCGAGTGCCGCTGTGCTAATGATGTACTAACCCCTCCTGACCGTGACCGTCCCCACCCCCAGTGCGGAGTGCCACAGGAGTGACCTAACAGTCGATGAGGCCGGCCCGGGACCCTAACCCATTCAAGCGCACCATAGCCGTACAGTTAAAGGCGGTCCTAAAAATACAAGTTGCACCAGGATAGCAACGTGAGTTCGGCAAGGCTCTGACCTCCGGCGACCTCACCCAGCCTTCCCTTAGCTGTGCAGACTCGGTCCCGCCGCCCTCTCCTCCCTGCAGTTCAAGCCACCAGGTGTTAGCACCCCAAAGCCCAGTGCTCTCCATTATTCTCCATTAGTTATCTCTACCACAAAATAATGTGCCTGGAAGAGCAATTGTATCCCAGCACTTATGCCTGAAAAATGGATCGGTGCATTTTCTGTCACAAACTGCTTCCTGGGCCTTCTGTCCCCATCAGCGACTGGCTGTCGGGGGCCGAGGGCCGCTGCCACAGTGGGAATGAAATGTGCCAGGGAGCCCGCACTCCGGACGGTGTGCCGTCAGAACCGGGGGAAGGGCCTGGGTAGGAGGAAACAGCTGCCAAAGACGGATGGAATGAGCAACAGCAAGCGCTAGTCGAGTGTGCGGAACTTTCTGGATCCCTCAGAGGCCGTCCTCGGGGCGCGAGGCCTGGGAGGCTAAGCAGTGGCGAGCCGTCCTCGGAGCGGGCCGGGCCGGCCAGGAGCGCACAGTCGTCCGCCCGGCCTTCCCCGCGGCCCTGCCGGCGCCGGGTCGGAGCGGCTGTCGGTGGTGGGGTCGCGAGGAGGGAGGTCAGTGCAGGCGTCGGCTTCCGGGGAGGAGCGGGAGGGGACCGCGCCACCTGCCGCGTCACAGCACGAGGAGGAGGACCAGCACGACCAGCAGGACCACGAAGAGGACGGCGATGGCGCACCACTGGCGCCGGTCTGGAAGGCAGGACACGAGGATTAGCGCTCCCGGGACTCCACGGTCCCCAAGGTACAGCCACATGCAACTCCCCGAAGCAGAAAGGGGCCGGAGTGCCGACGACAGGGCCACAGAGGGCCTGGAACCCGCCCGCGAGCCGACCGCCTGGGCCCGCGCCGCACGGGCACCCACCGCTCTGCCGGTCCCCCCCCCGACCGTGGCCTCTACCCAGCACGCGCCCCGTGCCTCAGGTCCTTCACGAAAGCCCGTGGCTCTCTGCCGGCTGCTGCGGGGGCCATGCCCCTGGCACGCTGCCGGCGCGGGCACTACAGATCACAGCCCGTTCGCGTTAATCCTCCACCGAAGCCAAATCCCTTCATTCAATGAGAATCATGTTCTTTGCTCCATGGGCACTAGGGGGGATGGAAAGAGGGAGAAAGCTCCCGCTGGTCACTCCAGGAAACAAGAGCGGAGAAAGCACACTCCAGGGCCCGTGCGCACGATCACGTCTACACCACACGCCGCCAGGAAGGGTCACTGGCGAAGCAACTTACACAGCTTACCGCTGCATCTGAGTGGAACGTCTTCTCTGAAACCTGCCCTGCCAACACTTTAGAACAAGCACCGGAAACTGAGCTAGAGTCCGTCTAGACGCCGAGTGCAAGGAGGCTCGGAGGAACAGAAGGGCCCACACAGACCCCAGCGGGGCCCCGGCTCCACCCGCAATCCCCCGCCTGCCTGGCAGGAAACACGAACACCCTTGCTCACCCTGGGCCCCAGGCTCACCCTGGGCCGGGCTGGGGGCCCAGGGTGCTGCCGTTGCCAGGATGCCTCCTGAACTTGTGGAGGTAGAAAGAACAAGCAGTCTTTCTACGAAGGGTCACAATGACAGAATGGACTTTCGCTGGCCTATGAAAATGTAGTTCTGCTGCTGGAGAGGAGCGCTCCATTTAAACAGAAATATGAAGGTAAACAGATTCATCAAAAGTCTACTTGAAGGCCTGCAGGTTCTAGTGCACTGTGGCTATCGAAGACCACAGTATAAGAAGGTCTGAATCTAGGAAAAATAGATTGCAAAGCTTTCCTCAAAGCAGTGCTAAGTCCACAAACCAAGTACTTAAATGATCTGTCACAGGTAGCAAAATCATAGAGCCGCCCAACAGACCGCCACCAAGTGACAGTAAGCAAAGTAAGTACCTTCTTAGTGGTGATCACCTTGCTCTACTTCAGACACGCTAGAAACTCACTTAGTAACTGTGATTAGGGCAAAGTCCCCAAGTCTGTTCATTCCTTGTCTGAACAGGACTAGCCCAATGGGCACGGGAGGCAGAGCTGGCCTACTCAGATAAGATTTTTAATCTGTTTTAACTATCATTTCACTGGTCAAGAAAACTTGAGTTAATCTAGCATTCTTTCATCTATTTAAAAATGCCTACAATAACCTCAAAACACTCATTAAAATGATGAGTTGATATTCTTCCAGGACAAAACAGTCAAGGTAATTGCTTCCTAACCATCCCTGCCCCCAACCTCACACATGTCCCTGCTCCTGACCCCCACCCCCGTCCTGACATTCTCAACCCCTGATTCCCAGCATTGAACCAGTTTTCTACTTTTTGGCTTTCCATCAGCCTCTCCCCACCCCCCTCCCACCTCCAGTCACTTTCTCTTCCGTAGCTGCATTAAACAGGGGTTTTCATCAAGGAGAACGTCCCTCACATAGGCCAGCACAGCCCAGGAACGCTCCTTTAAAGCCATTTTCCTTTGAAGTGCTAAGCTGCTACGTGAACCAGGTAACCTCACTCAGGTAACCTCACCGGCTGACTTCTCCCCAGAAGGGGGGCCTCCTAACCACAAAGGCTTCTGTGCTCCCAAGGGAAAAGCCTAACCAGCTTTGCAAGTGCAAGACCTGCTTCAAAAAGTCGACAGGAACAAAGAGAGCTCCAATGGCAGGTGTTTTTCCCCTCCCAGTATATCTTCCTCCCCTAAAGAGAAAGGATAAAAACATTTTGGAAAGTGAGGGGAAGAAAACCTCCGTATCTACTCAAAAGAATATGCTTTCCTTGGGTCACTCAACAAAGCAAGTGTGGCATCTTGGCTGATTTCTCCCACAAAGCAGCCAGCCATGGGGAGGGCAGATGTTCTGAGTCTCCAGAACTGTGTGCGGGGTGTGTGCTGATCAGACATCAGTGTGTCTTCATATACTTTAAGTACCGATTCAGAAGAACTTGCCCGGACGTTACAGCAGAGAACAGGGACAAATACAAACTGGCTTGTTGTCGACCTGAAGCCAAGAGCACCAAGCAGGAGGCCCTGAGCAATCTTTCTTTTGAGAGCAAGCAAAGCTTAACGTGAAAACCACTGGCAAGCTGTCCAAACTGAAGGGCCTTTCAGGCTAAACGCTCCCTTTCCTGGCCCGTTTTCTTAGACAAATAGAACTGAAGTCCCTACTTTGCTCCCCAAACTTTTCTTTCAGAATAAAGTCGCATGAAGCATAAGCAAAGCTCAGTGCTATTTATACACACTGAACGGCTTATCACAATGCAAGTACTTTTCTAAATTATTCATACCCAGAATGCTGAGAAACAAAGACACAGTGCGCCTTTGTTCTTTGCTCTTCCCCAAACAAAACTCGTGCTGAAGTAGCTACTTGACTTTGTGACTAATACATACACTAGAGAGAGGCCTGGGGTTTACACTGGTTACGTAATACTTCGTTACTTATTTTAAGTAGAGGGATGGAGGTGGAAGAGGAGAGAACAGAGGAATAGGGAAGAAGGCTTTGCAAACCTTTCTCTAAGTGTGTGAAAGGCTAACTAAGCCTGTGCCTGCTTTAGGCAATGAAGAGCTGCTAGAGGCATAAAGGTATTTGTCCCTGGGGAGAAGAAGGAACTAAGTCTGGCTACAAGCATCTTGGATAAAAAACAGGACCTTTGCCCCTCAGGGCCATATTCTACCCATCTTCCTATTTCTTTTAAAAAACAAACATTAAGTACTAATACATGGGAGACACTTTAAACCCTTGTACATTAATTACTATTATTTCATTTAACGTCCACAGTGCTCTGAAGATATGAGCAACAACCTATCTTTTACAGATAGAGGCTGAGCCCCAGACAACCGTTCTTTAACTTGACTATGAGTTAAAGTGCTGGAAAGCAAATACATCTCTGTATTTAAGTCTTAACGCAGAAGGCTGAATGAACCATTAGACCCCAAAACGCACATCCTTGTAGGGGGGAACCCACCAAAGAACGAGGCATCAGGAAACAAGGCAAGTTCGAGCGGGGGAGCTGCGTGCTCTGCTTTAACAAAGTGTACTTCACCTCAAAGACTACCTCAGCCCCTCCCTTCACCAAGCCACCCCAACCCACTAATGAAGAAAGGAGATACTGGATTTTCTTTGACTGCAAAATATAGTATTTCTAATGTACTAGGGGAGGTGGGTTGCTGCCATCAGCAAACAGAGTCATTGAACACATCTTCCCACATAGTGACCAATTTGAGAACTGTTAAAATTTCTTCATCCCCATTCTGACACAAATCTGCCAGAATATTTCACTTATGGGTTTAAGTGAAAACAATTTTTTTTAAGATTTTTTTTTTAAAGTTAATTTATTTTGAGAAAGAGAGAGAGAATGCACGCACTGAGAGCGGGGGAGGGGCAGAGAGAGAGAATCACAGGCAGGATCCTGCTGTCAGCACAGAGTCTGACACGGGGCTCGATCTCAAACTATGAGAACAGTGAGATCATGACCTGGGCCGAAATTAAGAGTCAGATGCTTAACCGATGGAGCCACCCAGGTGCCCCTGGAAACAACTGAAATTAGACCTGTACGGCCATCTTATTCTGAAATGGTAGGAGTTTTTCAATAAAAGAAAGTCCAGGAGAAACAGTAATCAGCTTTTTCATCACTGTTTTATAAGAAGTTCCCCATTCCGGCAAGGAAATAAGAAAAGGAAAAGGAAAAGGAAAAGGAAAAGGGAAAGGAAAGGAAAGGAAAGAAAAGGAAAGGAAAGGAAAGGAAAGAACAGAGGATTTTGTAATTGCCAAGAGAGTGGCTCCACTAGGAGCAAAGCCCCCGCCACTGCCGGCCTTGTGCCACAAAAACCACTTCTCTGGAAGCCACAAGCGTCAGATGAGGCCTGTGCGTACCAGTCTTCCTTCTCAGATAAGAGAGCAGGACGGGGGTGTCTGGGTGGCTCAGTTGGTTAAGTGTCCGACTTCAGCTCAGGTCATGATCTCACAGTTCGTGGGTTCGAGCCCCACGCCAGGCTCTGTGCTGACAGCTCAGAGCCTGGAGCCTGCTTCAGATTCTGTGTCTCCCTCTCTCTCTCTGACCCTCCCCTGCTCATGCTGTTCTCTCTCTCAGAAATAAATACGAGAGAGAAAGAGCAGGACCAAAAATGTACCACAGGAGAGAGATCTGCAGGGGCACACCTGTGAGAACCCGACAGACCGTGTTTCTAGAAGTAAGTAGGAATTCTTAAGCTTTAAATGCAATACATACCACTGGTCATGTGAGATACTTTTGCGAGTTTCTTCATCACATTGTCCAGCCGGGACTGAGTGCTCTCCAACTCGTGGGAGAAATCATCCAACATACTGGAAAGGGAAGCAGACATGGAGGGGAAGCCAGTAAGCACAAAGTTGCGGCAGCGGTTGTGTAAATTAGCTTCTAGGTGCACCCCAGTCTTAGCAAACCTCAAACAGGTAATGTGGGGACTGGGTCAAGCCCCTAATCTATTATCCAAAATCCTTAGCACAAGACATGGTTTTTGATTTCAGGATTTGGGGAATTTAAAAAAGTAATGAGTTACATATGCTATATGTTAGCCAACACTCGCCAGCAGGGTCTGGGGCAGACCCCATAATCAAACATGTTAATATTTCTGCAGAGAAAACCACGAGGAATCATAGCTGCGGTCAGGTCAGGTCAGGTTTTCTGTAATATGAGCTTGCTGAAAACTTTTTTTTAAAAAAAATTTTTTTAGAACTTTCTAGATTTTAGGATTGTAGACCAGGCAGTGTGGACGTGACTGACCCAATAAGAGAAGCTTAGTGGCAATGCAGCGCTCTAGAAACAGGCTGCGTGAGGTCAGACAACCAGGCTTTGCCACCTGCTTCCCCTACTACCTTGACGAGGCACCGCACAACTCTTTGGCACGGTTTCCACATCTGTAAAACGGGGTAGCTTCCCTGCTGGAGTCTTGTGAGCACCAGATCATAACTCAAAGCACTTCAGGGCGACAGGAGCCGAACATACTTTAATCATCGCCTGTGACGCACTCTGTGCTTAGTCATAAAGCTGGGAGGCCCCAGGCTTGACACTCCTGACGGTGTGCACTCCTCATCTACACCCGCAGAGAAGCCAGTGTTTTCCTACCAGGGGAAACAGCTCCAGGAAGCTGACACTATTTGCTGTCCAAGGTGCAGCTGGGAAAGAAACACCAACATACTCTTACCCCAACAGCGTTTACTTCATAAATTACTAAACATTCCAGACTTCTCATCTTCGAGTTAGCACGGGATCATCTCAGGTATAGACGGGTACCAAGGCTCTAAGGCTCTAGTGCTCTGACAGCATCAATGGCGGCTAGAAAGTCCTGGGTTTGGTCTGTGCCCACAGGAAGCACCTGACGGGCCTTGCCAGATTTGGGGCAACTGACTCCTCATTAAGTCAATTACTAAATAAAGTCCACGTTGACAACTAATAAGCAAGTCTTTGTCCCTTACCTGAATTTTCACATTAAAACATTATTAGCTCATCTTAGATCCTGGTAGCAAGTTGGCCCTGCGGCTGCAGACCTATCCAGGCAGGGCCAAACGCTGAGAACACAAGAGCCACCTTTGTATGCCAGGCCTGACTTTCCTGACTGAGGACAAGGCCAGTCACCCAGCCTCCAGCCCAAGGACACCCACTAAGTAGGTTTCTAGCTCAGCTCTATCTCCTCAGCGCTGTCCAAAAGAAACAGACTGTGAGTCCGATATGCTAACTCATACTGTCTAATAGCCACATTTAAAACAAAAAGGATGAAATTAATTTTCATAGTCTGTTTTATTAATACAGCCAAAATATTATCATTTCAGTATGTAATCAATATTAAAAAAATCACTCACAAGCTACTTTATGTTTCTTTTTTTTTTCATAGTAAGTCTTCAAAGTCTGGTGCATTTACACTTTAGCCGCATCTCAGTTCAGACTGACAATGTTTTACGTGGCTGATGGCCACAGCTGCTGGTGGCTACATGTCCCAGGGGACACAGTCAGAGTCCAAGACCCATGTGTTCTCTTTTGAATTTACAATTTTTTGCCAAAGTGACACACACCTTATTATTTTTTTAATATATTTTTAAATGTTTATTTATTTTTTGAGAGAGAGTGAGAGGGGGAGGCACAGAATCTGAAACAGGCTCCAGGCTCTGAACTGTCAGTTCAGAACCCAACAAGGGGCTTGAACCCACAAACTGAGATCATGACCTGAGCCGAAGTCAGATGCTTAACTAAGGCGCCCCAACACATACTTTAAAGAGCTAAATAGGGACGCCTGGGTGGCTCATATTCTGTGTCTCCCTCTCTCTCTGCCCCTCCCCGACTCATGCTCTGTCTCTCTCGGTCTCAAAAATAAAACACAAAAAAATTTTTTTTTAAAAGAGCTAAATAGTACATTAAGGCTTTTCATAAAACAAAACAAAACAAAAACACAACCACCACGGCTGTTTCCTGCCCCCTAGCATAACTGCTCCAACCCCTCCCACTCTACTCTCGGGCCTTTTCAACTTTCTAAAGTAAATGCTTGCACCAAAATCCCATCCTGCTGACTCCATGCTAACAACGCTAGGGCTTCATTCTGCTCCCATTTCCTTCCCTGTCTCTGCATCCACCCCAGACCTCCTCCTCCTTCCTTCCAACATGATTTTGTCGCGGTGAGAGGAGACCCCCTTTGGGGGCTCACGCAGTCTACAGCGAGTGAATGCTCTTCCCAGCTGGTGGTTCGTGGCGGGAACCACACTTGCTCCTTGGCTCTCCCCACAGCCGGCTGGCTAAGGGCTCAGCTTTCTCTGGTCTGTGGAGTCGGTAATCATCCAGGATCTAAAGTGTTATGCTTAGTGTTTATTTCATGCTCTATGTCCCCTAGGTTTTATGCCATAAAAAAAAAAAAAAAAAATCCCTCTGCTAGCGCTCTAGTGGGCTTTAGGGAAGGAGCGGAGATAGAAGGTGTGTTTGGTGTGTTCAAAGTCACCATCTTTAACTGGGAGTCTACCAGGCTTCTCTATTACCTGCCGAAGCCCAAGGAGTTCAGGCAATCAGTCCTTTCCCATCCCCGAACTGGCATTTTAGGAGAAGAATGCATTTTAGACAGAAATTACATACGCATGCCTAGATTCCTGCTCTTGCAGTTTCCCAGCTAGTCTCCCTGCCTCCAGTCTCGCTCCACTAGTGCTGGTCATCTAATCCGCAGCTAGATGGGGCGCCTGGGTGGCTCAGTCGGCTAACTATCCGACTTCGGCTCAGATCATGATCTCACAGTTCATGGGTTCAAGCCCCGCGTCAGGCTCAGCTCAGAGCCTGGAGCCTGCTTCAGATTCTGTGTCTCCTTCTCTCTCTCCATTCTCCCGCAGCTTGTGCTTTCTCTCTCTCCCCCTCAAAAATAAATGTTAAAAAAAAATTTTTTTTAAACCACAGCATGATGGGCCTCCCTGAAGTGTAAACCTGACCATAGTGTCCTTCCTAACACAACATGACCCTCAGAAGACAAAGTCCTAACCCCTTAACAGGGCTTCTCAGGCCTCCCTGCCTTGACTTCTGCACCCCTCCCCGCCCCCATGCCCTAAGCCTTTCTGCATCATGCACTTTCTCACTCTCTCTAATTCCGGGTCGGCCCTCCCCTTACCCCCAACCTTCCACGGGGACACCTTCTACTCATCCTTCAGCTTCCAGTTAACCACATCTTCTCAGGGACCTGGGCTAAGTCAGGTCTGCAGCCTGTGCTAAGTGAGGGCTCCCAAGGTCCCATGTCCTTCCCCCTTACTTCTCCGTCACCTCTTACCTCTCTGTCACCACTTAATGACTCTCACCATTTGTAGAACATCCGTTCTACGCAGTAAATGGTAAACTCTCTGAGGGCAAAGATGGTCTGTTCTTTCACTCCTCTGTCAACACCCAAGACCTCCAGCAGAGCAGATGCCCACTTTGAATTTATGAAGAACAAACGAATATGCTGAACTTAATTAAGAAGCTGGAGAGGTTCTGAAATATCCTAGTAGATGGTCTTATTTTTTCAGAGAAAAAAAATTTGTGAAATGAACCCATTTTAGAACGATGCTTTTGGGGTCATACTTCCAAGCACAAAAGGAGACTGTGCCGAGGGAAAACCAAATAAACCCAGTTGTTTTTTCTTGTTTGCTCTGTGTTCACTTTTTTAGTTTTGAGAGGGAAGATTTTTTATTGAGGTTAAATTTATAAACTTTTTTTCATAAAGATTAAGATGCAAAGCAAGTTTTATTGGATAGAGCAGAAGAGTCAAGGGGTGATGATGTGAGGTCAGCTCATGTCCTATCTTCCTCGGGACCCAAATCCCAGGAAGGTTACAAAAGCCAGATCCGTCTCATGCTCCCATTCATCGGGACACTCCAAGAATCCGCTCAGAGTCGTCTGGATCTGTTTTTGCAAGGTGTAACACTAATCATGGGAATAACTCTGCCTAAACCTTGTTGAAAATGTTATCTGATACATCAGCCTCTATGGGGGAGGTTAGTCTGCAAGCCAGAATGAAGTGCAGCTATATGGAAAACAGCTTTTGGTTTCAATAGCCATGTAACTGTTGGGCTTTCTAGGGGTCTCTGAGGATGGCTCTGTCCCTCAGCTTCCCTGCAGCAAGAGGGGCGCGTCCATACTCACACTGCCTGCTCCTCCAGCTCCCCTCCGATGCGCTGGGACATGTTCTTCAGCACCCCGATGCTGCCGGAGACCAGCTCCAACTGCTCATCCTGCTGCCCCACAATCAGCTGGTGCCAGGGAAATGGGAAATAAGCAGTGAGGACCCATCTTACCTGGCTCCAATCCCGGTACACTAGCAGCTGCTCGCATCTTTGCCAACTTGGGACAATTCTCATTCAGAAGCAAAGCCCAGAAATCCAAGGAGCAGACCATCGCCTCTGAGAACACACTGCTCCAAAGGCTGGGTTGTCAGGCCCCTGATACCGCCTGCTGATCCAACTCGTCAACAGCCAGCAGGCCCTGAAGCCACCACGGGGGACTGGCGCTGCTTGGCTCGAGTCCAACACGGGGCCAAAAGCACCTATGCGATCACCACTAAGCCACCGGGTATTTGGGAAGAGGAAGCCCAGGCCAGGGTCAAGGTCTCAGTCCACAACAGACTGCCACAGCCTAACTACGAGAGACAGCCTGGCAAATCTGAATGTGGGAACGCTGCACATAGAGTCCTTTCCTTCCTGCTCAAAGACAAACCAAGAGGCGGCCCTGTGGCGGTGAGCTGTCTCAAGGACAGCCACTAAGTGATAATTACTTTTAATTGTGCTGTGGCCTCCTCTTTTTTTTTATATATAACAAAAGCTTACTTGATTAACGGCAATTTAAGTAGACAACTGGTTAAACAGGGATGCTAATGGAAAGAGAACACACAATCCTACATGTATACGTACAGCTTAATATTTAAGCACCAGTAGTTTCAATGCACAGAAAACCCTCAAATCCCCAGATACACTGTTATCAGCTTCCTTTTTAAAATACAGCTACATATCAAAAGCAACAATGTGAACATAAGCCACCTTTCTTCCCTTCTGCTGTATAACCTCCGCCAGAGCAATCACTTTACATATAATGGAACTCAAAATAATTTTCAATGAAAACACAAGGACTCCATTTTTCTGAAAGTGCCTTTGTTGAAATGAACAAAAAAACGGAGTATACAAGTAGAGGTAGGGAAAGAAGTTGCTAGTTTTCTGTGTGTGGTTTTTTTTTTTTTTTAAATCAGGGGCCTTGTCTGACAGTTGAGGATGTCTGGTCAGCTTTTCCTGAGAGATCTAATCAAGCTTGGATCTCTCAACAAGGTCGTGCTGTGAAGGAGGTCCAGGGCACGTGCGGACGCAGGATGAGCCCCTGGCTGGCAGAGGAACTGGAGGGTGGGGGGCACCCTGGCTCCCAGCGCCCCCCGCGGGTCTTGGGTACCTGCTGCTGCGCCTGCTGCTCCTCGATGAAATGGGAGTTGGCCAACTGGAGCTCACGGTCGAGGCGCGCGTATTTCTCCGTCGTTCCAGCGCTCCAGTTCTGGCCGCCACTGTCCCCTAGCAGTGCCTGTGACAGCGGGGCAGGGGGCAGCCGGGCGGGGGAGGGGTGGGGACAAGCCATTACTATGTGCACACACGCTCCGCTGCAGCGACATAAAGAGTTCTCATACTGCTCACAGTGCATTTTCCACCGGGTCGGCCCTTTGTGTGGTGGTGTAGGTTGGTGCCTGCGTGGCACAATTTCAGGAATGCCGGGAAGGGCACCCGCTGCCTCCAAGCTTTCCCAATGGGTCTCAAAAATGGCCTTTGGTCCCATTAAAATGCAAATAAATGTCAACTTGAAACCAACAAGCACCCGTCTGTACACTGCTTCATAAAGTACAAACCCTCAGTCTCTTTAGGCCAGCCCTTCCTAACACCCTGGGAAGTTCACCAGAGCCTCATAGGGTCTAGTCTGATTCCACAGATCTAGAATCCTTTTTATTCAAGTGTGAGCCAGGGAAGTTTCTGGGGTTTTTTTTTGGAAGGAGGTGAGAAGAGTTCCCTAGTAGGACAAGAAGCTAAGCCACAGCCTCTCGTACACAGAAGGCACAAGAACCACCGCTGTCTGTTCAAGGTAACCCATACACAAATCCCAGTGCCCTTCAACTTGAACTAAAAGGCTACAGGCTCCCCAGATAGGACCTGGGGGTTGCTTCATGGGCAGAAATGGCCACAAAGGAGTCTCTGATCCTGTAACCCAGGCAAGTGCTGGTCCTGAAGTCAGAGCTCTTCACCAGGGTCAGATTTCCCAATATGAATTCAAGGAAGTTTGTAGCCAGAACAGGATAAGCCTGGAAAAAGGATAAGTCTCTGCAACATGACGGGGCCCACCAGGCATGGGAGAACTCATTCTTGGCTGCGGGCTCTGACTGCGAGCCCCACAAGCCTGTCTGACTAGTTGGTCAAAGTTACTGCTCGCACCAGCCCTGCATAAAGAGCCAGAAGATGCTGCTGACAAAGATTCTTTCCCTTGTGCGGCTGCCAGATCTTCTGACCAGGTACTGTTTATCTCCAGAGCTGTTAAAAGCCTGATCACCTGGTTCTCTGTCTGAAAAGCCCTTCACTAGCCCCTTGGGACTGACGTGGACCACCTTGCCTGGTGCTCAGAGCTGAACTGGGTCAAACGGCCACAATTCAGGGACTGAGCTTGGCGAGGCTCCGGAGGCAGAGCCTAAGTTCTGAGGTGGTAATGAGAAGGGAACCAGGACGCAGGAGAGCCTCCGGCAAGCCTTGGCCTCAGTCCAGCCAAGGGACTAGAGGTGACCTGGCCTCTAGAGGAAGCAGACCCGAGGCCCTGTGAAGATGGCCCTGCTCTGCCCTGATCGTGGGGCTGTCAAGTTGGAAAGATTCTGCTCCTTCTGAGCCGAAGACGCTAACCATCTCTGCAGAGGGCACAGGGGCCTAGTGACAATTTTTTCAAGGTCAGAAAAAGGCTATATATAGTGCATCATTGCTCCTGGGGCCACAGTCAGGACTATCCTTTCTAGCCTATCCATGGTCTACACTCAGGTGGACATATGTCATGACATTAACAGTCATCTGTGCTTTACTGTGAAGCAGCTTAGATTTCCTCAGTCTGACTTCCAGGAATTTATTTGGCTGCGGAAGGAGACGGCGAGGGCCCAGGGCACCAGACGACCAGCCTGTGTGCAGGTGCCAGAGCTGGAGGCTCAGCAGGGGGTAGCACAGCACCTGGTCCTGGCAAGAAGCGGTGAGGCCGAATGCCTGCCTGAGTGCTTACAGAAAACCGGCACCGCCATTCTTTGAGAATCTGTGACTCTATGACGTTTCACACAACACTGAAAACAAAATTCCAGTCCATACTTGGAAAGGCAATGTGTAACTATACACGTTTTATTTATGTCAGCTCAACGTTTACTCTCTAGGGAATAAAATAATTCAAGTTCGGGGTGCTGGAGGCCAAGAGTTCGCTATCTCACTGTCACAACTACCTCAGGTGACTCAGCTTCTGTGAGCTGAAGTGGAGACAAAAAGGGAACTTTGAAACTAGCCAGCCGTGGCCATACCCTCGGCCTCTTCCAAGAGCTAGTGCCAGATGGACCAGGTCAACTACTGGCTTTTCCTCGCTGCACTGTTAAGAGGAAGGGAGGTAGACAGGAAGAAAATAAAACACAACAATGACTTGAAAAATGAAATATGAGAAAGGAAACAGGAAAATTAAGTTGGGTGATATCTGGAGAGCCCCCTCCCTTTCTTTGAGCTCTTATAATACTTGTTTTCAAAATTAAGTGGGTCAATACCCACAGGTACAAAGTAAGGAATTACTGATTCCTAGTTAGTTAAAAATGATGATCTGATTCTTGAGTTAATAGTATACTAAATGGACTATTGGTAACTTTATGGAATCTGAACAGAATTGAAATTAAGTCTAAATTTTAGGCAACTGTTGTGTTTGTGTGTGTATATATATATTATTTATTTGGCGGGGGAGGGTATAGGGCAGAAGGGGAGAGGGAGAGGGAGAGGGAGAGGGAGAGGGAGAGGGAGAGGGAGAGGGAGAGAGGGAGAGAATCCCAGGAGAATCTCTGTGCTAACAGTGCAGAGACATATGGCTCAACCTCACAAACTGAGATCATGACTTGAACCAAAATCCAGTCAGGCGGTTAACCGACTAAGCCATCCAGGTGCCACTGTTATACATTTTTTAAAACGATTTTATTTTATTAGTCAGAAAGGAATTTCTATCAAAAGCATCTAATTTTAAAAAGATACCTAAAATTCAAGGACTGGTCTCCTGTAGCTTTTATTTTTGATATGTCATTATCTGTGTGTTGGTTTCTGAAATTAGGTTTCATGATGTATCTGTAATAACTAATAAAAACTGGACCTCACGTCAAAAAAATATTTAAGGGGCGCCTGGGTGGCTCAGTTGTTTAAACGTCCAACTTCAGCTTAGGTCATGATCTCACGGTTCGTGAGTTTGAGCCCCGCATCGGGCTCTGTGCTGACAGTTCAGTGCCTGGAGCCTGCTTCAGATTCTGTTTCTCCCTCTCTCTCTGCTCCTGCCCCACTCACGCTCTGTCTCTCTCAAAAATAAACATTAAAAAACTAATAAAATAAAAATAAATACTTAAAATGATGAAAGGTTTAAATTAACATGTTACACTAATTTAACATACATTTCAGTTTCCTTCAGTGTCTTTACATAAAATTTCACTCATTAGATGTCGAGTAAGTTCTACAGGCAATGTAATAGCAGCCAGAGATTTAAAAACAGCCTGTGACACAAATTGTTCCTCCCTTTCAAGGAGCGTGGGGTCCAGCAAAGAAAAAGACAGGAAGACAGGAAACGGAGCAATTACGGCACCTAACAGGGCCTTGCACAAGGAGCACGCGCATATCCGGAATAAAGGCTGCATGGCGGGGGATACAAGGATAAGCAGAGGCAGCTACGCGAGCCCGGACGAGACAGCCAGAGGGTGCGAGGGAGGGGAGGGCAGCCGACCAGACTTTCTCACACCTGCCGGCCTCACTCCAGGCTCAGCAGGTACATGTCCTCTGCCCGAGCACACGATACACAGATGTCAGCATTTTTTCATTAAAAATATCTAACCATGCTCTTTTCTTTGGCCAATGTTGTGTTTTCAGATGTTTACTCACCTGTCTGTTTTTTCGTTCAGCTAATGCCTGCACAGAGGAAGGGGACATGTGATCCTTCATGTCCTAATGAGGTAAGGAGACCAGAAAACAAATGAATATCCTCAGATTAAACAAAATCATAGTTAATACTTTACATGCTAGCAAAATGCACGTACGTTATTATGTAATTTTTGAAGCAAAACGACAGCACTCTTTAGCTTTTAAGTCTCAAAAATAAAGGAAATAAAACAGAGGGACTGACATTGCCTTAGAAGGGCATAACCTGGATACTAAATTTAAATAGGAAGACGGGAAGGAAGCTAGGAATTCCTGGGTACCAACCACAGGCCAGAAGCACCACCGAACACTTATATTTATCACTGAATTTTACAATGATCCTGTGAAGCTGGTATATTTCCATTTTACTGGTGAGGAGATTGAGATCTACAAAGGCTAAGATACTTTCTTAAGGTCACATAGTAAATGGCAATTCTCGAACGCAAACTCAAATGCCTGTGCTCAAGGGCTAGGATATTCAAACAAAATACATGTGAAAAGTCATGCACTTTAGGATTAAGTATACCTACCATTAAACACCAGAAAATACTTCCTAGTGTTCTATTTTATTTTATTTCTGAGTTTGATTCATGTGAAGTATAGACTATTTGTAACCCGAGAGTGAATTTCCAGAACAATATCAAAAATAATTTTGTAAAGGGGCGTCTGGGTGGCTCAGTCAGTTAAGTGTGCTGACAGCTCAGAGCCTGGAACCTGCTTCGGATTCTGTGTCTCCCTCTCTCTCTGCCCCTCCCCTGCTCATGCTCTGTCTCTCTCAAAAATAAACAAAACATTAAAAAATAATTTTATATGGAAAGAAAAATGAATTGACCCATTACTTAATCTGCAGTAAAACACCTGATTAAATATAAGCGATTTTCCTTATATTTAAGCACAACCCAATATACTTTAAAATTATTTGAACTGAATAAGATTACTGTAATACAAATTGTCTTTAAAAAAATAAAGGCTGCCAAAATAACTTTAAAATTTTCTGTTGGCAAGAAGGCTATTCTATAGATGCAAATGTTGAGTTATTAGGCTCTCAGAAACTTCTTCCAAGACTCATGACAACTGAACAGCAGATCAGACAGCGCCACGGTTTTCCTAATTCCTACCGTGGGGAGTCTGAATAATAACCACCTTGCTTCAACTTTCCGAGCATCCATTCTCACGTTCGCCAAATGCTCACTAAAGCCTCATGCGTTCCCACGTACAGCAGTGAGCAAGCAACACAGGCCAGGCCCCTGCACACATGGAGCCAACACTGTGGTGGAGAGAAGCAAAGAGTAATCCCACAGACAAGTCAACAAAGTGATTGCTGTGTTGGGAAGGAAGGGAATAAACAGGACTGGAACTGAGTGGGTAATGGACACCGCTCTAGAAGGATGGGGGTGACAATGGAATCGAGACCTGAAGGGCAAGAATGAGTCAACCACAGAAAGAACTAAAGGCTGAGAAATCTGGGCAAAGGGAACAGCAAATACAAAAACCTGGAGGCGGGAAACAGCTAAGTACCTTTGGCTCTTGAGAAAGCAGGCCAGGGTGGCTCAAGGAGCCAACCGCACGTTTGGGGCTAGGGGATAAAAGAGCAGGTTGGCTAAACGTGCAGGCCCTTCAGGCTGCTTAGATTTTATTCTGAGGCAGGGGTTTGACAAACTTTGTTTGTAAAGGAGTAAATATTAAATATTCAGCCCCTGTCATACACTCTTTGTTATGTGTGTGTGCGTGTGATTTCTAACTATCCTTTAAAAAATGTAAAACTGTTCTTAGATCTCATGGGCCATAGATTGTAGGCCCTGTGCAAAGGCAAATGGGAAGCCTTAAAGTATTTTAAGCAAGGCTATGGAGTTTTCTGGATCATGTTTTAGACAATCACTTCAGTTACTCTGCAGAAAAAAAAATGTTAATCCAGCAGAGTGAAAGTAAAGACATCATTTTACTATAACCTGTCACAATGTCCCTCCCAGTGCTGCCCCACATAAGAGTGCATCCAGAAAGAGCAAACCCCCTCTGTTGGGGGTCCTCAACAAGAGGCTACCTGAGCTCTTGGCAATGACACTGAGTAGGTAGCACATCCGACGGGTATTCCATCTAGAGTCCAGTTCACCCAGGAATTCTAGGATTCTCTACCTACTTCATCTGTTCATAAACCTCAAAAGTATAAAAAAAAAAAAGGCCACCCATAAAAATTGAGAAAAATATACTTAGTTAAAAAAAAAAAAAGGCACACACCATGAAAATATAGATATTGGCATATTTAAAAAAAGGAAATTTGGTGGTATAAGCCATGTTTTTTAAATGTGTGAGATCTGCCTGAGTCAGTCACCAGGGGTGGTGTTAAAAATTCAAGTCCCTGGATCCCCACCAGGCCCACTAAAGCAGACTCTAAGGTACAGTGAACAAGCCCCCAGGTGAGGATTATGAACACTGAAGTTGGGCTGCTCTGCTCTAGATATGAGCGGCCTGAAACTGAGACCATCACCTATTATCTCACAGACTTTGGGCTCCTAATTATCACTTAGAGCTCAAGAGGACAGTCTGATATTCAATCAAACAATATGAGTAGTACAATTCCATATATACTATTAACTATGCAGAGCAAATATCTGAAATGTTCACTGGTGGGATAATATATGCTTTAAAAATGCACTTAATACATGTTATGATAGTCTTTTTTTAAAAACAATGAACACTACTTGCATAATGAAAATATCAACATGTATCCAAGCATGATGAAAAAAATAACTGAAGTTCAAGTAAACTTTGAACTTTATCTGTAGAATGTGTTCTTGCTGTTAGAAGTCAGGACAGTGAACAGGGGAGTAGAGACTGTAAAGGAGCACAAGGAGGTTTCTAGGGGTGCTGGGAATGCTCTGGAATGTTCTAGAATGTTCTGGAATGCTTCCATGGCTGTGATCAGTTTACAAAAGTTGTATACGTGGGATACATGCACTTTTCTCTATTGTTATACTTCAATAAAAATGCAAAAAAAAAAAACCCTGCTGCTTTAGAACAATGGCTGGAAAGTAAACTGGACTAACTGAAAAAACTTGACATTTTGTATCAGGAGCCTTGATATTTGTATCAAATATTCATGACCTTGACCTAGCAATTCCATTATTAGGATTTATTTTAAGAAAACAATATAAAAGGGGTACCTGGCTGGCTCAGTCAGGAGAGCATGCAGCTCTTGATCTCAGGGTTGTGAGTTGGAGTCCCACAGTGGTATAAAGATTGCTTAAAAATAAAATCTTAAATATATATATAAAATATATACCAGAAAAAAGCAAAGATGTATGCTGCAATGCTATTTATAATAGGAAAGAAAAACAGAAATCAGCAGCATTTTCCAAGAAGAGACTAGTAACTTAGAGTAAACTCAGCCTAATACTCCATTTCTTTTAAGAGTCCATTTCAATGTCATATAATGACTAGAGGAAATATGTAAAACTGCTAACAGTGATTATTTCCAGGGAAGGGAATTACAGAATGGAAGGGCTTTTTGTTTACCTTTCTCATCCAGCAAAATTATTTGCATTTAAAAAAACAGCCAAGTATGCAATGAGAAAGGATGAAATTTGGCCACGTGTAGCAACATGGATGGACCTTGAGGGTGTTATGCTGAGCAAAATAAGTCAGGCAGAGAAGGACAGATACCATATGTTTGCACGTATAGGAGGATTAGGAGGAACTTAATGGAGGACCATGGGGGAGAAGAAGGGGGGAAATGGTGGGGGAGAGGGAGAGAGGCAAACCATGAGAGACTCTTGAATGATGAGAACAAACTGAGGACTGATGGGTGTGGGGGGGGAGGGGGGAGATGGGCATAGAAGGAGGGCACTTGTGGGGATGAGCACTGGGCGTTATATGGAAACTAATTTGACAATAAACTATTTGTAAAAAAAATAATAATAATAAAATAAAAAAAAATAAAAGCAGCCAAGTATGAATTACTTTTAATTTTAAAAAGTCAAATACAAAATACTTATGATTGCTTAACAGTATGATCACAGCTGTGTAAAAATCCAACTGTCATGCACTGGAAAGAAAATGACTATGAGAAAATATAACAAAGTTCTGTGTTTATTATTTTGAGCTTAGATTTCTTTTTTCTATTTTCTCCTCTTATAAAACTTTTTTTTTTATGAACATGTATTGCTTTCATGAAATATGTACCTAAAAGTTCCAGGTTTTTAGGTTTTCTGCTTACTAAAATATATGTGGAGGGGCCATTAGCCCTGACAGCAAGTGACTCCTTCAATGACTGTGTGGCGTGTGTCCTGATGGCCACGACAGCAGGTAAAGCGGCCAGGCTTTTACTCCTAGTCAGCATTTGTTTCTACTACGTTAAAAGTTATCAGACATTAGGATTTGGGATTTTAAGCTGAGTCATTGAACACTGTTAAGCATTCTGTAACAACCTGTCCGGCCAAAACGGTCATCAGTCATCTTCTTTCTAACACATGAAGTTTAGAACCAGCGGTCAAGAAGTAGTGAGTACCAATACAATTTGGTTCATCTGCCAATAACAACAATAAATGTCCTGGTTACTTATGCTCCTGTTCCCATTTCATGGTGTCTTCCAAACTGCGTGAACGGGACACCATACATGCCAGTACTTCCCACTGAGAGGTCACACACCCCAATGTCATCTCTGTCCACACTGCACACCTCACCCTTTTTGGTTAATCATGTCTATCTTGACTTATAATGACATGGAAACAATTCTTGGGTTGGAACAAGTTGGATTTTTTTTTGCAAAGGCGTACAGTTCTCATCGTCTTTGAAAGTTAGAGAATGTCTGTGAGGACCATTTGATCATTTAATTGATAAAGAAAACAGCCAGAGAGGCTAAATGACTAGCCATGATGAAGACTTATTAAGGTCAGAGATGAGCCCAGAATGCAGGTCTCCTCACAGTTCATTCCCAGTTCCTCTGCCATAGACTGAAAAACCTTCTGCTACTAAGGTAACACGAAGTCACTTCTGGAACACATTTCCACAACACAAAGATCTCACATGCAAGATCTCCGATGTGTAGGTGCCCCCACAAATGTAAAAATGATTACTTCAAAATTATCAAAGACTATTTATACACAAAAAAGAATATTTTTTATTTCTTCAAAAAAAAACTGCCAGCAGAACTTAGTAAAAATGACACAAACTTACAATACACTTGGGAAAAACACACACAAACGACTCTTGAAACCAGGGAGGCTTCGAAAAGCAAAGCCAATGGACATGAATTTCAAGGAAAAACAAGAGAAAGATGTAATTCTTCTGACAGAACAACTACACGCATACACAAATGTACCATGTGTCACCAACTTTCCTGCCTAGGAAGGAGAAAGCATCAACTGTGGATCCAAAGATACTCCTTTTGAAGCAAATAAATGAAAACATACTGATAATGGTAACAGAAGACTTTATGTAAGCTTGTGATATACAAATCCCAAACCTGAGCTTGGTCTTCGGTTTCTTTTCCGAAATCTGCTAACTCTCTGATCCCACTCCATCTCCTCCAACTAGAACCCAGAGATCTCGGTATATAATACTGCTTTGCTAGGGGCTCAGTAGGTTAAGCATCTGACTCTTAATTTCAGCTCAGGTCATGATCTCACGGTTCATGGGTCGGAGCCCCATGTCAGTAAGGAGCGTGGGTGGGATTCTCTCTCTCTCCCTCTCTCTCTGCCCCTCCCCTGCGTGTACTAGCTTTCTCTCTCTCAAAATAAATAAATAAACATTTTTGAAAAACCTGCAAATACTACCTAGCTAAATACAATAATAATTCATCAACACAGGGTGCTTTAAGAAAAAAAAATTCAAGTTAGCATCATTACTACCTCATTCTCTTCTGAAAGGATTTCAATTAGAAGTTATTAATTATTTATTAATAAATAACTAATCCCATTTATTGAAATGAGACCAGCAGGGGCGCCTGGGTGGCTCAGCTGGTTGAGCGTCTGACTTTGGCTCAGGTCATGATCTCACAGTTGGTGGGTTCGAGCCTCACATTGGCTCTGTGCTGACAGCTCAGAGCCTGAAGCCTGCTTTGGATTCTGTGTCTCCCTCTCTCAGTGCCCTTCCCCTGCTCGTGCTCTGACTCTGTCTCTCAAAAAACGAATAAATGTGAAAAAAATTTTTGTTTACAAAAAATAAAATGAGACCAGCAAATGCTCATATAGGTACTGTTAACCTACAACTAGTCACAGTCCTCCAAAAATGAGTCACAATTAAAACAAGAATGATTAAAAACTCTACAATACTCAGTTGGATGATATAGTTGAGTATGATTTAGACCTCAACTCTAGAAGGGCGGCAACATTGTGAAGTATGGACTGGATTTTAAATACTTCTTTCAAAGAATACACTTTAAATAAAAGGCTTTTAAAATATTAGAAAGTGAACTTCAGTTTCTACTTCCAACTAATTATACCAATTAACTTAACTTTCAATATACTTACCTCTGAATTTCAATTTGCAAAATTTACAAGCAGTACTATCTTGCAGAAAGAAAAGATACAATGACTGAGGTCAGGGATATACACTTCACTGCAAGGCACCATTTAAATACTAACATCTACAGAAGTGTCTTTTAGAAAATCTATTACAAAAAATAGAAAAGCAAACTGTATTTATCAGATAAATAATTGGGGATTTACCCTAGAGGAATATAAAAAAGATGGGACCCCTTAAAGTATGGTCTTATTTAAACACAATTTAGGTATATGTATATAGAAAGGCAACTAATGAATAAAAGAAGAAACAAAAATAGTTAAAGTTCAGTGATAACCTACCATCTGAAATAATTTCAAAAGGAAATCACATGACATAAAGTCTTTGGCAAACACATAGCAAGGTTCCTGCCTAAGATGACTCTTAAAAAGCCATATGTTAGCGCTGGTATGATCCCAAATCTTTTTATTCAAGGAAGCTGCTTTCTAGTACATATGTTAAAGACAGCTGGTTCTCTTACATCTAGTTATGCTAATCAAACGGCTTAGCCATATAGTTTCAAAATACAAACGTATCTCAAGGATATAGGATTTGACTTAAATGATATTTTCTCTTAGTTCTTTTTTTTTTTTTTAACCATAGATTATTAGCTATATAATTTGAGACTAAAGATTTGTTCACTTAGACTGGTTTTTAACACTCTTGGTGGATGCTTGCTCTGGACAGCTCCCGAAAGGCTGTCAAGCAGTTGTATATGGAAATGTCAGTAACACGGGTTGCAAAAGTTCCAGAAGCAATTCAGATGGTGGAAGAGGCCGCTATCCAAACCTGGTAAGAGTCACTCTACACAATGCAAAGAGATTACCAATCAGTCAAGAAACCAAATGGTTTCTACAATGCTAATTCTTCCTTTTGTCCCAAAACACAGTAAATATGAGGTTTGAAGGACTGAGAGCTGTGGCCAAGTAGGACACCATTAAAGTAACTTCCCCAGGGCCAGGCATCTACTCTCTCATTTTTGCTCCAAGAAATACGCCTGGCAATACTAATAACAAATTTCTTTATTTATATGAATCAAAAGGACATTATGATGGAAATCGGCATTTAGCCACACTAACAAGTGGTTTCAGAGTTTACAATTAAGAAGAGCTCTGAGCAGTCTGGCTACTTCTCACACAAATAACACAATGAGATCATATTCCTTACCCTGACAACTTGCCGAGTGCTTGTGATGAATGTTTTTCTTATATTCAATTCAGTCGCATCAAGGTTGAATTTCCGAGGGTTCGCTTCAACTATGCGTGGGTCAAAGAGTCAAGGTAAAGCAATTTTATCATCAAAAGCCTATCAAACAACACCATGTTAAACCACAGAATCTCTCACGGGCAAGCAATAAAATCTGGCTCAATGTTTCTGAAAACACAGGCAGCCTGACACAGATCATTCTCAAACTTTCTCTTCCCACAGCTATGGGGGATCTCTGTGCCTCAAAGTGGAAAAGACCCTCCAGGTTAAGAAACAGCCCCTGCTGACTGGGTTCACTATACATCCACGGCTGTCTGACCACAGCTGAGCTGGGCTCTTCCAAAGACCTGCAGCGCTTCATATCTAATCTATCCTGATTCCAGATCACCCTTCCCATGACAGCTCTGAAAGCCTTTTTCATTGGCTATTCTAAACCATTCCTCTTACGGCCAGAAGCTGACCCTGCTTATGAATCCAGAGATGGAGGCTTCTTCAGTGAAGCCTCCCCTGACCTCTGCACCCCCAGCCTGGTCCTGCTGCCCCGTCAGACATTTGCATGGCTCTCTGTACTTCTGCAAATAGATATTTGTGTTATTCTGATTAATGTCTGTTCCCCTGTCCCCAGAGCTCCTCAATACTCCCCACCATAAACTCCATGAGGGCTGGTACACTGTTCTGCTTATCAATCCATACCCCGTACCTAACAAAATACCCAGCACATGGCACGCTCAGTGACTGTCTGCTGAATGAATGATGAAAACAGGCATACCTCATTTTCTTGTGCTTTGCTTTACTGCACTTAGCACATACTGTGTTTTGTATAAATTGAAGGTTTGTGGCAACCTGGTGTCAAGAAAGTCTATAGGTGCCACTTTTCCAACAGCATTTGTTCCCTTTGTGTCTCTGTGTCACCTTTTGGTAATTCTAGCAATATCTCAAACTTTTTTACTATTATATTAGTTATGGTGATCTATGATTATGACTCACTGAAAGCTCAGATGATGACTAGGATTCTCCAGCAATGAAGTATTTTTATGTTAAAGATTTTATTTTTAAATAATCTCTACACCCAACTTGGGCTCAAATTTACAATCCCGAGATCAAGAGTCATGTGCTTTACCAACTGAACCAGCCAGGCGCCCCAGCAATAAAGTGTTTTTAAATTAAGGTATGTACATTGTTTTCAGACAAAATCCTATTGCACACTTAACAGAATACAGTCTAGCATAGACATCACTTCTATGAACTGAACCTGCAGTATCTCCTCTTTCTCTCATAATGTCTCTCCAATCTTCTCTTCCATCTCAAGGGACAACGTACCTTCCTGCACCTGTGCCTTTGATCCCACCCTTTCACATATTTTCTTCCACTAATCTGAAAGAACACACTTTTTTTTTTAAAAAATAATATACAAGGGCAGGGGCACCTGGGTGGCTCAGTCAGTTAAGCGACTGACTCTTGACCTCAGTTCAGGACAGTCCACAAAAGGATTTTCTTTTGATTTCTAATTGACAACGTATAACGCTGGCGTGACATCGGGCTCTGCACTATCAGATTGGGATTTTCTCTTCCTCTCTCTCTGCCCCTCCCCTGCTTGTGGATGCACTCACTCTCTCTCTCAAAAAAAATCAATAAACTCTAAAACTAATAATTCAAAAGGTACCCAGGGTTATTATGAACAGAAATATGTATCGATTATGTACTCCACACATCAACTGCATATGAACCCGTGCTATGGAGTGACTCTGACGAAAGCCAGTTCCCTAGATCACACTTCAGGAAAGAACAAAAGAGAACTGAGAACATGCAGATGGCACACTGTCAACATTGTTGATTCGCTGGGAATTTTTCCACCTGAAAAAAGGCCGTATAGTTCAGCTTTTACAGTTCTCTGGTTCGTCAGTCAGGTCAGTGCACTTATTTAACATCAACAGCATGACTTGAATGTAACAGACCTGCTTTTACTAAATGCAGTTGGACGGTACAGAATGCCTCTCCAATGGACACTGGCATTGTGGCATCACCTCTTGAATGGGAGAAAGACAGTCCACAAAAGGATTTTCTTTTGATTTCTAATTGATAACGTATAACACTGGCGTGTATACACGTCTATGTAATGACTGCTAACACAGCAGCTCACTGTGTGTCAGGCTCCATACTCTGCCTGCTACACTTCCAACAACCTTACGAGTTAGGTACTGCTATTATCCTAACTTTCTACTGAAGAGAGAATTGAAGCAGAGAACAACGAGCTCAAAGTCAAACAGTTAGTAACTGGTGGGGTCAGGACTTGAACACACAATCTGACTCCAGGGTCCGAGCTTATGACCACACTACACTGTCGCCACACTGCCCGATCCCTCATGCACTGTAGAAGAACGTGGCCCCTACCCCTTAGCTTACTGGGCAACTATTTCGAGTATGTCATGCTACAAAGAAGAGCAACATCAATTGATTAGAAAAGGAAATATCTCATCTATGTATTGAGACATCTGGACAAAAACGTGTTCGTTTTTCTGTCCACCTCAGAGGTCTGGGCACCACAGAGAAGGATATTGATGGTCTCGTCGAGGTCCTCCAGATCCCACTCTATACTCCGGAGGTTGTTTCTCAGCTCGTTGGTGGTCCAGTCGATTTCTTCCCTCGTGGCTGTGGAGGGGTCCTGGAGGAGCTCCGTCCATCTTTGAAACAAGCCCTGGGCAGTGTTGACTGCTTTCTGTACCTCTCTGTAATCAAGGTGAAGGGAAAGGATGGAAATCAGAGACAACATGGTCCATGTACAAGTTACTACTGCCTGACTTAAGTGGACACCCGTGATCATGCACCATCTGCAGTAACCACCGCTCCCAAAAGTATTTTTAGCTGTTTATAGAAGGCTCCTCATGAACAAATATCAAAGTTCAAACCTTTAAAGATACCAGTCCTAGTATTATGTTCTCAGCGGATTTTGGAATAAAACAGTCATTATTTAAGTAGCTACGTCAAGTTTGCCTGAGAAGGACAAAATTTAATTTTTCTCTCAATTGACTATACTTAAAAATCTTAGAAGAAGCAATCCTACAAATTTAACTAAAGTAACATTAACATTCACACATGTTGCCATTTGGTGTGATATTTTATATTCACATAAAGAAGTTGTAATACAGCTTCCCTTTCCTTGCAGGGAGGAGGGATGAGGGTAAAAAGAGTGGAGGAAGGGTTACTCACACAGCTAGTCTTTTTGAAGGTAAGTATTTTCATCTGAGACTTTAAAGAATTTTTTAAAAATTCCAGTGTAGTTGGGGCACCTGGGTGGCTCAATCGGTTAAGTGTCTGACTTTGGTCCAGGCCATGATCTCACAGTTTGTGGGCTCGAGCCCTGGATCGGGCTCTTGCTGACAGCTCAGAGCCTGGAGCCTGCTTCAGATTCTGTGTCTCCCTCTCTCTCTGCCCCTGCCCTGCTCACACTCTCTCTCTCAAAAATAAATAAAAATCATTAAAGAAAATTAAAAAATAAAATAAAATTCCAGTGCAGTTAGCAAAGAGTGTTATATTAATATGTTTCAGGTGTATAATACAGTGATTCAACAATCCTATACATTACTCAGTGCTCATCATGGTAAGTATTCTTTTTTTAATTTTTTTTTTTAATGTTTTATTTATTTCTAGGAGAGAGAGACAGCGTGAGCAGGGGAGGGTCAGAGAGAGAGAGGGAGTCACAGACTGAAACAGGCTCCAGGCTCTGAGCTGGCAGTCAGCACAGAGCCCGACGCGGGGCTCGAACCCACGAACCGCGAGATCATGACCTAAGCGAAAGTCGGACGCCCAACCGACTAAGCCACCCAGGCGCCCCAGTATTCTTTTAATCCTTTTCACTGTTTCCCCCATTTCTCACTCCCCCCCCCCCCCCCAGTAGCCATCAGTTTGTTCTCCATAGTTAAGAGTCTGTTTCTTGGTTTTTTCTCTTTGCTTGTTTTGTTTCTTAAATTCCACATAAGAGTGATATCATATGGTATTTGTCTTTCTCTGACTTATTTCGCTTAGCATTACACTCACTAGCTCCATCCATGTGGTTGCAAATGACAAGATTTCATTCCTTTTTATGGCTGAATAATATTCCATTGTGTAGATATTCTACATCTTCTTTATCCATCTATTGATGGACACTTGCGCTACTTCCACAATTTGGCTATAAGGCTGCAACAAACATAGGGGTACATGCATCTTTTTGAATTCGTGCTTCCATATTTTGGGGGTGAATACCCAGTAATGCAATTCCTAGATTGTAGGGTAGTTCTATTATTAATTTTTAGAAAAACCACTCTACTGTTTTCCACAGTGGCTGCACCAGTTTGGACTCCTACCAACAGTGCACAAGGGTACCTATTTTCCATATCTTCTCCAACACTTGCTATTTCTTGTGCTTTTGGTTTCAGCCATTCTGACAGGCATGATGTGATATCTCATTGTAGTTTTGATTTACATTTCCCTGATGATGACTGATGTTGGGCATCTTTTCATGTGTTTGTTGGCCACCCATATGTCTTCTTTGGAGAAATGTCTGCTCATGTCTTCTGCCCATTTTATAAATTGGATTATTTATTTTTTGAGTGTTGAACTATATCAGTTCTTTATATATTCTGGATACTAACCTTGTATCAGAGATGTCATTTGCAAATATCTTCTCCCATTTAGTAACTTGTCCTTTAATCTGAGACATCTTAAAATCTAAAATCTCATTGGATTTCCTAATATTATTACCTTTAAATATATACATGTATAAAATATACATATAGCAGGTAAGTGTGTTTCTTGTTTAGAGAGTGAAACTAGGTCATTAAGTGCTATGATCTAGAATGCTTTCAAATTAGATATAGTCACAAGGTTTTAGAAACTCCCCCACCCCCTTCCATGATAATGGATTGGAAGAACAAATACTGTTAAAATGTCTATACTACCCAATCTATATATTTAATGCAATCCCTATCAAAATATCAACAGCCTTTTTCACAGAGCTAGAACAAACAATGCTAAAATCTGTAAGACACCACAAAAGACCCTGCATAGCCAAAGGGATCTTAAAAAAGAAAAAACAAAGCCGGAAGCCTCACAATTCTGAGCTTCAAACTGTATTACAAAGCTGTAGTCATCAAGATGGTATGACACGGGCACAAAGACAGACCAGTGGACTAGAAGAAAAAACCCAGAAATGCACTTAACCATATGGAAAACCTTTGACAAAGCAGGAAAGAATATCCAATGGAAAAAAGACGGTCTCTTCAATAAATGGTGTTGGGAAAACTGGACAGCAACATGCAGAAGAATGGACCTGGACCACTTTCTCAGACCACACAAAAAAATAAATTCAAAATGGATGAAAGACCAAACATAAATTCAAAATGCATGAAAGACCTAAATGTGAGACAGGAAACCATCAAAATCCTAGAGGAGAACAGAAGTAGCAATGTCTTTGACCTTGGCTGCCAGAGCAACTTCTTACTTGTTCCAGATGCAACGGAAAGAAAAGCAAATATTAACTATAGGAACATCATCAATATAAAAAAGTTTCCACACAGTGAAGGAAACAATAAAACTAAAAAGCAATCTTCTGAATGGGGGAAGATATTTGGAAATGACATATCTAATAAAGGGTTAGTATTTAAAATCTATAAAGAACTTATCAAACTCAACATCCAAAAAACAAATAATCCAGTTAAGAAATGGGCAGAAATGGGATGCCTGGATGGCTCAGGTGGTTAAGTGTCCAACTCTTGATTCCAGCTCAGGTCATGATCTCGAGGTTTGTGAGATCCAGCCGTACGTAAGGCTCTATGCTATCGGCACAGAGCCTGCTTGAGATCCTTTCTCTCCCTTTCTCTCTGACCCTTCCCCTCTTTCACAAGCACTCTCTCTCAAAATAAATAAACATTTTAAAAATGGGCAGAAAACATAAATAGAAATTTTTCCAAAGAAAACATACAGATGGCTAACAGACACATGAAAAGATGCTCAACATCACTCACCATCAGGGAAATACAAATCAAAACTACAATGAGATATCACCTCGCACCAATCAGAATGGCTAAAATTAACAACACGGAAAAAAGCAGGTGTAAGTGAGGATGCAGAGAAAGGGGAACCGTCTTACACTGTTGGTGGAAAACAGTATGGCAGTTCCTGAAAAGATTAAAAATAGAACTATCCTATCATCAGCAATGACACTACTAGGTATTTACCCAAAGGATCTAAGAATACTGGGGCGCCTGGGTGGCTCAGTCAGTTAAGTGTCTGACTCTGGCTCAGGTCATGATCTCACGGCTCATGGGTTTGAGCCCTGCATCGGGCTTTGTGCTGACAGCTAGCTCAGAGCCTGGAGCCTGCTTCGGATTCTGTATTTCCCTCTCTCTCTGACCCTCCCCTGCTCACACTATCTCAGAAATAAATAAAAAACATTTCTAAAAAATTTTTTAAAAAGGATATAAGAATACTAATTTGAAGCAATACCTGCACCCCAATGTTTATAGCAGCGCTATATTATGGAAATAATATATATTTCCATATTTGGTTATAGCAGCCAAATTATGGAAAGAACCCAAATGTCCATCAACTGATGAATGGATAAAGAAGATGTGGTGGAATAAAAAAGAATGAAATCTTGCCATTTGATGTGGATGGAGCTAGAAAGTATTATGCTATGCGAAACAGAGAAAACCAAATACCACATGATTTCACTCTTATGTGGAAGAAACAAAACAAATGAACTTGGCTGGAGAAAGAAAGGAAAACCAAGAAACAGACTCTTTTTTTAAGGTTTATTCATTTTTGAGAGAGAGAGAGAGAGCAGGGGAGGGGCAGAGAGAGAGGGAGACACAGAATGTGAAGCAGACTCCACGCTGAGCTGTCAGCAACAGAGCCTGATGTGGGGCTCAAACTCATGAGCTGTGAGATCATGACCTGAGCCCAAGTCGGATACTTAACAAAGTGAGCCACCAGGTGCCACCCAAGAAACAGACTCTTAAGTATAGACACTAACTGATGGTTACCAGAGAGGAGATGAGGGGGTGAGGTTGGGGGGAGGTGGGCTGAGTAGGTGATGGGGATTAAGGAGGCCACTTGTGATGAGCACTAGGTGTGGTATGTAAGTATTAAATTACTAAATTCTATACTTAAAACTAATATTATACTGTATGTTAACAGAAATTTAAATAAAAACTTGGAAAAATAAATAAATAAATGTGATAAACATTTGAAAAAAGACGAACCACTTTTGAGGTAGCAGTCTATATTGGTGTGGTAAAAATGACACCATATAACTTCTAGGAAGTGCAGATAAAGACAGACTTGGGGCGCCTGGGTGGCTTAGTCGGTTAAGCGTCCGACTTTCGCTTAGGTCATGATCCCGTGGTTTGTGGGTTCGAGCCCCGCGTCGGGCTCTGTGCTGACTGCCAGCTCAGAGCCTGGAGCCTGTTTCAGTCTGTGACTCCCTCTCTCTCTGATCCTCCCCTGCTCACGCTGTCTCTCTCTCTCTCTCCTAGAAATGAATAAAACATTAAAAAAATTAAAAAAAAAAAGACAGACTTAGGAAAGAAAAAACAAACAAAAAAATAGGGTGCCCAGATGGTTCAATCAGTTGAATGTCTGACTTTGGCTCTGGTCATCATCTTGTGGTTGGTGAGTTCAAGCTCCACATCAGGGTCTCTGCTGTCAGCATGGAGCCCATTTTGGATCCTCTGTCCCCATTCCCTCA